TGTTGGTTAAACTGTCCGAGATACACCTCACCGCCACCTCCCCGACAGATGTGACGAAGAATGACGACCTTCTCGCGAGGGATCCGAGCTGTAGCTATGACTTCATCGTCCCATAAGCCAACGAGACTAAGCGGCTTTTGTGACCCTCTCTGACCTTCATCCAAATGTGAATCTATCGTTCCTGGGGCTGTTAACGAAGAATTCTTTTGGTCATTTCGAGGTGATCCATACTCGTTGAAATTATCTTCCTCTTCCATTTCACCTTCGTGTTTTTTGCGAAGATGATGAGCGACCAACAAGGACACGATGAGTACAAACACCAAGCCTGCGGCTACGATCCCAACAATTACGCCCGTGCCCATGGCCGAACCATTCGAACCGTCCTCAGACCCAATCATGCTACTCTCCACCTGTCGATCGATGGTCCCGGAGCTATCGGTAACGTTGCCGTCACTACCGTTTTCCTTGCTATTTGTTATGCTTGCGGGATTGCTCTCGCTACTGTAAAATCTGTACAGATCTTGCTGACACGAGCCTGTGGATAGCGCCGTACTATCAAGTTCAAAGTACAACGAAGGCTCTCCTCCACATGCATTATTGGGATACAGCACCACAACAGCGGATCCATTGGGAAAGAGGCTCGTGATAGCCGACTGGTCTCCGAATCCGGACGAGATCTCGCAGCTCCCTGATGCCAAGAACGTGTCTGCCTCCCCGAATGACGTGCAGCTTTCGTTGTCGTATGTCTCCATGATCACGTACGTGAAGTCTCCGAATACCTGCTCGGTGTGTGCAAATCTGTCCGTGACGTTACATGTTCGGCTAATGTAGTACGTGTCATTGCCAAAGTCGATGTTGCTGCACGCGTTCTCGGCACAACCCATGGTTACATTGTAAATGGCCAACACGTCTGGCGTCCCAGCGCAATTGGAACCCGAGAAAATCTCGACAGCTTCCATCGTGACAGCATGAACAGTCCCGAATGCGATCACGAGCAGCGGAATCCAGCACGGCATCGAAACGCTAGTCTGTGGGGGGTCTCGATGAACCCAATTTGCTCACCTAGAATTGGAATGTAGTCGGATGTCTGAACCCGAGCGACAAACTGAGCAGCAAGGGTCTTCATGCAAAGCTACACTATTGCGATTGTCTTGATAGCGCTTACATCATTAGCTAGTAGCTAGCATACAACGATCCGAAGCTCCACAGTAAAGAAGAGCGATTTGTTGCGAAGGATGCTTGCTATAATAGGTTTGCTTCCCCTCCAGCACACTGTCATCGGATGTTTCTTTTGGATCGCCATTACTGCAAGTTGCTGTCAGCAACATGGCCACGTGGTGTGCTGGCTGTGGAGCACTAATGACAGCGTCGGCTACCAGGCGGCTCAGAGGAATGTAAAATGTCTTCGAAAGTTCATCAGAGTTGTAGTGTGCAACGGGATCAACAACTTGTTGCCGTATTTACTGTGATCAGCTTCCTCAAATTTCAGTGCTTCATCGATAAGGTCTCCGTGTTGCTGATCATGAACAGCCGACGAAAGCGTTCACATCATTCATTTTTTTTAAGATAGAGAGCGCTGCGGCTTCGACTATAAAACTGAGTTGCACTGCAGCTTGCAGCTCCTGACTTTCGCCAGCTGATCATCAAATTTTCGTCTCCGCAATTCGAGATAAAATCTAGAGGCTCTAACTCCAAGTAGACTCTGCATGTACATGTAGAGAGAGCACGATGCACGTTCGTGCAGCACTCGCCACCTCAGCGCGAACAATCAGCCTTCCGATTGTCCTCTCCAGACTGCCAGTGAATCCATCAGGTAAGCGTCCACCACTCATCGCACGGCTATGCCTGTATGTCAGCACCTTTGGTGACAGATCCACTCCCACTCTGTGACCGAGAAGGATGCGCCGCATTTTGGGATGATCCCTCAAGCTGGTCCGCAGTACCACATGTTCCCCCCTTGTCAAGTTCGACGGGGCTCCGCGCCATACGTCAACTCGCCGGCGATGGAGGAGAAGCTAAAGCCTAAGCTACACGACCACGAGGCGGTGGCCAAGCCGCGTCGCCGTCCGCTGCCGCCCATGCCGATGCCCGTCTCGGATTCCGTCCTGTCCTTCTTCCTCGACTCGCCGTCCTCGTCCACGTCCTCTTCGGAGAACTCGCGTCTACACAACTCCGGGAGTTCAGAGGAGCCTGTGGCCAACGACCGGCGACGCACTAGCGTACGCTCGAGCGTGATGCTCGACTCGATGCGGCGCTATCCGTCCCTCAGTCGCAGTCGTAGCGACGTCAGTATCAAGTCGAGTAGTAGCTGCCGCGCGCACCTGGTGCCCCGCTCGTCGTCCACCAGCACGTCGTCCACTATGTCGCTCAAGAAGCGGCCGCGCAGCTTGGCCAACCATCTCGGAGGCTTCGTGCTGCACTCGGTCACGCCACGAGAATCATCGATTCTGCAGTACACGTCCATGGTGTCGCCCGGTACACACACAGAGTACGAACTGGTGCTTGAAGACACGATGGTTTCTGGCGTAGGAGAGAGGTGGGTCGTCTCGAGACGATATTCAGGTTTCAGGACACTACGAGACGAACTGGCGCTGGTATTCGACCGACGGAACCACCCAGGGGCAGCGGAGGACAGCAAACAGGCTCACTGTCAGCATTGCGCGCCGATGATGGAAGCGCTGGACAAACTGAGCTCGAAATATTTCCCCAAGCGGCGACTGTGGGGTTCCAAGAGCTCCAAAGTCGTGCAGCAACGTGCAGAACTCTTCTTCAAGTATGTACAGGGCCTACTAACACTCGCTACTAGTCGATCTACCCGTCGCTGCCCGCTCGTGACGCTGGGCTTCGCTGTGCAGCTGCGGACGTTCCTCACACTCGAACGTGAACCGTACCGGGACGCGCCGGGCACATTCGGAGGCAGCGCTGTCCCGTTCCTACTGAATGAAATGACTCTGATGGACGCGAGACCGGATAACGCCACGACACTCATGACTATCGACGAGCTCGACGCTGCCCGTGCAGACTCGGACGAGGAGGCGGAATACGATCTAGGACGCCATCCGGATGACAACCAGGTGATCGACTTGCCGTCTCCTGTATACGTGCTCGAGGAGCAAGATGAACTCCGTTCGTGGGACGGATTCCAGCAGTGGGAAGAGGCCTCTGTGACCAGCTCCTGTACGCACTAATGAACTATAGACACAGTAAACTACACACTCAAACGTATACTTAATCACAACCAGCGAGGCCGTGCACGCAGTCAAGTCCATCGGAAGACTGATATTAGACGTGAACGGGCTTCGCCTGGTCTTATTCCACTCATATTTCTGGGTTTTCTTGTTCATAATTCTCGTACTTTGGTCTCGATCTCCGGGTTTTCTGCTTCTTCGTCGGTCCCTGGTCTTCTGATGATAGAGGCCACTGTCCATTTCACGCGTCACCTTTCTGGTTCAGCGCCACAATGACCACACTGATGTTATCGTGTGCGAAATAGGCCTGCGCCTTCAGCACGAGCTCCTGTGCTGCGAGTTGGACGTCTCCGTGGGTCTGGAGTTTACGCAGCACAAAGTTGACAGCCTGCTGCGAAGTCAGAACGTCAAAGAGGCCGTCGCTTGCAAGTAGTAAGAACTGATCCGCCGGGTTCACCAGATGCTCCACAACGTCGGGGGTGACCACCAAATGTCCATCCTGTTTGTGTGCCAGGTCACCAAAGCCTCGAGAGATCTGCAGAATACCATCCAGTCGGCCATTGTGCACGAAGCCACCTGAGGCCTCGATACGCTCTTGCTCAGCCGGTAGGGACGCCTTGTGATCCGTCGTCAAGTCAACAGCTATAGCGTCGGCAGTGCACAAAACAGCGCGACAGTCGCCCACATTGGCCACGTACAGTCGCGTAGGCTGGTCTTCCTCGTCCAGTTCGTCCTCATCCGCAGTCTTGACCTCTTCGCTGTCCTTGGCGTCGGTGTCGCCCTCTTTATCGTTTGTACGGCATCGTTTCTTGCGCTGCTTCGCAACCACAACGAAGACACTCGCTGCTCCAGAGAACGAAATCGGTTGCAGTAGCTGCTTCATCTCCTCTCCACACACAATTTCGCCGTCAATCTCGCAGCATTCGCCTTCAATAAGACTCTGGTGTGTGCCTTCGCTCCTCAGATAACGTTGCATCTCCTCCGCCGCCATGGTGCGCTTACGTTTCGGGAGTACACTCTGGTTCTGTCTCTCCAAGATCTCATTGTCGATCGCCTCACACACTGACGAGATGCACGTCACTGGAGACTCCACGAAGCCTGCACCTTCAGCAAAAAAGCGATGGTGCAACTCGTTCTGCAATTTCACAGCCGTCTCCGTACCATTGTGGCCATCGTAGACGGCAAAGAACGCCAACGACGCGTAGTTGTTCGCTAGAGCAGCAGGATAGCGCGACAGATCGCACGTAGTCTGTCCCGTCGTGCGATCTTCCATGTACGACCGCGCTCCCTTCGCTTCAGCGTAACCAGACCGGATAGAGAGCGTCAGATTCTCTCGGATTTTACTGCTCACGTAGACTTGGACAATATCCAGCATCAGAGACGGCGTAGCCATGGCCAATGCCGAGGAACTTGAAGTCATCGACGCTAAGGATCCAAGCGTAAGAACCTTCCCACTGTTGTCCACATCCAAAGATGAAGACGACAAGTCATGCAACGACGTTAGTGACGGCTTCTGAGTCACGATAGGAGCGATCTCCTCATCGTCGTGGCTGATAATTTCAAGCTGGTTGGGCGTCGCAATCAGTTCACTGAAGGTTGCGTCCACGTCGACGTCACACTCCACATCCGAGTAATCTGAGTCGTCCGAGTCGCTGTCAGCGTCCGAAAGTCCAGAATTATGACTGCGATTGTGGCTGCTGTTCGCTCTGCTACTGTCACTGTGATGGTGGAAATGGCGCGAGGAAGCTCCACTACCCTTACGCATCCCGTGATTCACCAGATCATCATCGTCTTCGTCATCGATCTCCGTCACTTGGACGCAATCGATGCCATCCATGTCGAATTCCTCCACATTGCCATCCTCTGTAACCACAGATCGTGACGAGCTGACGGAGCTTCCGCTTAAGGATCGACGACTTGTGTTGGTTCGGCCTAATGCACTGCCCATCGCACTCCCCATTGCGCTGCCCATAGCACTGCTGCTACCAGCGCTGCCTAGTTTGCCAGTACTTCCCAACCGTCTGGGCTTCTGACTGGACGACGATGAGTTGGTTGAGCCTGCACGACCAGGAGGGAGCAACTCACGGCCTGAATTCGAGTGGGTAGGCACGCGTGAAGCCACAGAAAAGTCATCGTCTCGAGCCTGGAAGAGAATCTTACGCGTCTGGTAGTCGCCACCTTCGTCACGGAACACTTCAGATGTCACCATAAGGAAATCCTTCTTACGTGAGAGCGAGCGCTTCATCAAGTCTGCATCTGACGCCTCTGTAGTATTCGAATAGCTGCTGTTAGAGTGCCCAGACTCACTGGACGATGACAAGCTTCCACGTTGGTCAAAAGACTCTTCAACAGGAGTTGCAGCCAACTCGGACAGCTGCGATACAGACGTGAAGGACGTACGACCGAAGCCTTCGAGGTTGCCGGAGTCTTTGAATCTGCGAATCTGGAAGCTGTTCTTCTTGATCAGCTGCGAATTGTCGACAGAATTGCTGCGTCCGGCTGGGAATGACCGCGATCTGGGTGAATCCGATGACGGAGTATTGCCGCACATGGTCGACATGGACGATACTGAAGACGCTGTGGACAACGCCGACTGCTCTCTCACTTGTTGGAGCGATGCACTTGACGACGTGCTTGGGTATCGGCTGCGAGCTGTGGGTTTAGCAGCCGGGAGAATGATCTCCGTCACCTTGGCGCGATCCACCGAGAAAGCCATGCGTTTCTGCTCGATCAACAGTTCACGAGAGCGCTCCGACAGTTCCTTGTGACCGTCCATGAGCTGCACGCGTTTGTGATGGCGCCAAGCGCAGATAATACGCGAGACTTCGTCGCTAGAAGCGCGACTTGGACTGCTACCGACCGTGTTTATTGATGAGGTAGTGGACGCCGTCGAAGGAATACGAGCACCCAACGTTCCAGCCATGGGGGTGCCAGTGAAGTACCGTCCACTGTTTGTCCGCACGACACCGGGGCCCACACTTTCCTGCCGCGTCTTCACTAGCTGATGAGCTTGAGCCAGACTCTCCGTCAGTCGCTGGTCAATCTGCTCAGGGATGTTCTCGATAGCACGTTCACTTTCATCCATCGACACTGTCAAGTTCTTCTCCGGTGTGATCAGACCAAGCGGGTCGCTTCCTTCCTTAGTGGTCCACTCGTGCGTAAAGCATTCCTTGAGAGAAATACGACAGGCAGGATCTTTTGTGAGCATGCGCTGTAACAGATTCTTCAGATGCGGCTCCATCGTACGCTCCACTTCCTTCGGGAAGCGTAACTCAACACGTTGTACTCGTTCAGCCAGAACAATCTCGTTGTCTGCCATCCAAGGTGGGTGTCCGATGACCATCATGTACAGCGTGGCCCCAAGTGACCAGACGTCCACAGCTGGACCTTGGTACGTCGCGTCAATGTCAAACATCTCGGGGGCCATAAACGCAGGCGTCCCCTTCGCTCCAGAGATCGTCTCGGTCTCGTTCATGATCATTCGTGCAGTACCGAAGTCAGCAATCTTCGCGACGCCATCGGAGCTGACGAGAATGTTCTCTGGTTTAATATCACGGTGAATAACCTTGTGGAAGTGCAGATACTGAAGACCAGAGAGCAGATCGCGCATGTACTTCCGAGCAACTGGTTCACTCAACCTACGCGCTTGCGTGACTTCTTCCATCAGACTGTGCTGTACATATTCCTGTACGAGATACATCTTCTGGCTGTTCGGGTCGTCGATAACCTCCACCAGTCTCACAACGTTGCGGTGGTTCAGCTTCTTCATGATAGCCACCTCGCGACGTAGTACGTCATACAGCTGGTCTTCCTTGCCTGCCATACGCTGAACGAAAGTCTTGTGCATGATCTTGACAGCGTACATCTGTCCGTCCTCCTGGCTCTCACACAGCTTGACGCGGCCGAATGTTCCGCGACCCAGATCACCTTTGATCACGTACTTGTTCACCACAACCTGACCGTTTTTCAGCCTCTGCTTCACAAGTTTCTTGGTCTCTGTAGCCTTCACAGGCGACGAGGGGGCCGGTGGCGGTGCCACAGTGGATCCAGACGAACTATCCGATCTCGCCTGAGGTGTGGAAGATCCCATAGTCGCAGCACTGTTCGCACGCTGTTGGAGTCGAAGCCGCATAGCACGACGCGTAGCCTTCTCCACGTAAGCTTCTTGAATAAACCGCTGGAAGTGATCAGAGAGGAGACACTTGTCGAAGTCCTCCTTACTCAGATACAGACACTTGACAGGGCCGACTGCACGCACGGAAGCTGTACGAGGTTCACTGTAAATGAGCGACATCTCACCAAAAACGTGGCCCTCGTACAGTCGCGTCAACTCCTTCTCGTACGGCTTCTTGTCTGGTCCAATCGCCTTCTCCGACACAATCGCTTCACCACGTGTGATCATGTAGAAACGCGTACCTTCATCGCCTTGGTGCACAATGTACTCGCCATCGCTGAAGTTCGCAGGTCGTAAACATTTCAGCACAATATCCTGGTCGCGTGCACTCAGTCGTGCAAGAAGCGGCACTTGCTGCAACATAAGACTCAAATGCACCTGACCAATGTGTTGGAAATCTTCCTGAGTCAAGTACAGCAGCTCCACGTCCCCGACGGCGCGTACAGTGGCCGTACGAGGGTCGTCATAGATCAACGCCAGCTCACCGAAGTAGTGGCCAGCTCGTAAGTGCGTGATCATACGTTCCTGTGTCTGTCCCGCACTAGAAGGAGTCGAGCCGGTAATACTGTGGCTGCTAGTGGTAACTGTCTTGGTCACGACGGCTTCTCCCTTGGCAATCATGTAGAATCTCGAGCCACGCGTGCCTTGCGCCACGATAACCTCGCCGTCCGAGAACTTAGCGGGCTTGAGCGCTCGCACCACTTGTTCCTGTTGCATTTGACTCAAGTTCCTGAATAATTGCACCTGTCTCATGACCTCGTACACGGGCATATTGTCCCGTAAGAACGGCGTGAGTGCCACCGGTTCATCGTCTGCGTCGTCTTCTTCCTCCACGTCGTCGGGGGAGCTGAGCCACGAGGCCCAACCTGTCATACTGTGTTGACTGCTGTTGCTGTTGCGTCCTCCGCTGCTGTGCATGGCCGAGAACGACACACTGTTCCCTGTGTGGGACGACACGGAGGAACAGGCGCTCGCGTGGCGCGTGCGCTTCGGTTGGGACGGCGGGGACAGTACGGCGTCTTCAGGTTCGTCGAGCCAGTCACTGACGAGCTCTTCGCCGCTGCCCACGAGCTCCTCGTCGGACGAGCTGGAGCTCGAGTCGAGCGACGAGTCCGAGCTGGACTGTGGAGATCTGGGAATATCCATGGACGGCCGGAAGCGCGACAGTTTCGGCGGCGCCGGCGTACGCGACATGGAGCTGCGTCTTGTAAGAGGGTGGGCGTCATCCGCCTTGACGTTGAGCGGTGAGGATGGGAACGAGTCGGTGGAGGACACACGCGACGCGCTGAGAGCGTCCTCCTCGTCGCTCTGACGTCGCTGGTGAGCGGACGGCTCCTGGTCGGAGCTGAGCGTGTCGTGCACGACATCGACCAACCGCGTGGAGCCTTCGCGCTCACTTTGCTGCTCTGCGGCGTTCTCGATGGTAGGGCGCTGCGTGGATAGAGTGCCGGGTGTAGAGCGGGGAGCTGTGTCTGCGGAGGAGGGAGGGGAACTCGCAGTAGGCGGAGGGGAGGATAAAGAAGTGGGAGAGGCATCGGATGCGCGAGCTGCTAGAGCAGTGGAGGGCGGGCCATCGGCCTCCGAGACGTCGCTGTCGCGCGAGGTGCTGAAGCGCTGCCCCATGGCGACCGCAGAGCTTCGGGAATGGTAGCGACCACCGAGAGTTTAGAGAAGCTCAAATCAGAACTTCAAAGCATATTTTGAGCCTAGATTGGACCAATGAGAGAACGGGAGATTCTGATTAGACTAAAGCAACTTATGGTGCAACATAACCAAGCTAGGGCAACTTCGTCGTGTTTTTCACTTGAAAGCGAACCTGGCCGTTCGCTGCGCGGTTGACTCGACTCGCGGGATGACGCAAGCTGCAGATCACTTCGTTAAGGACCTGAGCTCCAGGTCCGTCACTTGCTATTTTGCTCAGACAAATGACGACGCCCAAGCTATTCACGCCACTGACCCTCGGGGGCAAGAAGGACCCCATTCAGCTCCTTCACCGAGTTGTTATGGCACCACTCACGCGACTGCGAACGGGGGAACTGGGTGTTCAGAAGGACATCGGTGCTCAGTACTACGCTCAACGTGCTACGCCTGGTGGTCTCATTATCGCCGAAGCCACTAATATCTCGCCCACGGCACGTGGGTCCTGGGGCTCGCCGGGCATCTTCACGTCCGAACAGATCGAGGCCTGGCGCAACGTCACGCAGGCCGTGCACAACAAGGGCGGTAAGATGTTCCTCCAGCTGTGGCATACAGGCCGCATTAGCCACCCGCTCAACCAGCCTGGAGGTATTCTGCCCGTGTCGTCCAGCTCCAAACTCGAGAACATCCGTGCTGGGAAGAAAATCGCCACTCGCGAAGGACGTAAGGAGCCCGTGCCGCCTCGCGCGCTGGAGGCGAGTGAGATCCCTGGTATTGTGGCCGACTACCGTAAGGCCACAGAGAACGCCATCGCTGCGGGATTTGACGGCGTTGAGCTACACGCTGCCAATGGCTACTTGCTGGAACAGTTCTTGCACGACGGCATCAACGACCGTACGGACGAATACGGCGGCAGCGTGGAGAACCGCGCGCGCTTCCTCTTCGAGGCGTTGGAGGCGATTCTCGAGAGTTTGGACTCGTCCAAGGTGGGTATTCGACTGTCACCGTTCGGAGGCAGCTTCGGCGACAAGGACTCGGACCCCATCGCCACGTACACGTACGTCCTGAAAAAGCTGAACGACTACGACCTGGCGTACGCGCACCTCATCGAACCGCGTGGTTACCACGTGCGCAACCCGCTGGCGCCGGAGAAGGGGTCGGCACGGCAGTTCCGTGACACTTACAAGGGCGTACTGATTGCTGCGTCGGGTTTCGATCGACAGTCGGCCGTTCACATCGTCGAGGAAGGCGCCGCCGACGCCGTGGCCATCGGCCGCCACTTCATTTCGAATCCGGACCTGGTGCGTCGGTTCGAGCTCAATAAGCCCGTCAATGACTTCGACGTCGATACGTTCTACCTCGGCGACGAGCGTGGATACTTAGACTACCCGTACCTGCAGAACTAGACTAGGATAGAGTGGCCGGAGACCAGAACATGTTGAAGTGAACTATCCACAGTGACAATCACACCGGGACACAACGCATATTTGTGTTGACGTAAAAATTGGTACTCATACACTATCACTTCAACTTCACAAAATTCCGTCCGGTTCCAACTGTCTCATGCAAATTTCACCAAAAAGAGAAACTGTCGAAACTCACCCCGCGCCTCTTCGGTCGAAATCTTGAATAGTTGCACGCGCTAGCCCACTCGCCGACTCTCTTCGCCATGACGCGGCAGCTTTCCTCGCCTTCTCCATCCTCAGCGCCTTCGTCGCTCACCGATCGTCTACAGCACGCTTCGTCGACGCCTGTTCCGTCGGAGCCCGGCAGCAGTAGTAGCAGCAATAGTAGCAGCGGATTGCGCTCGCAGACGCTTCTGGCACGCCTGTTCCGGCGTAAGGGGCGGTCTCCGACTGCCCCGCGCCCCCTGGCCGGGCGCTCTTTGTATGGTGAAGAGGAGGAGACCAAGGCGCGCGTGGACTCGCCCATGCGCGCGCTGCTACGTTCCCTCAGTCTGCAGCGTGGCCGCCACAAGGCGGAGGAGCTGTGCACTCCGCCGTCTCAGCCCGTACAGGTGCTGGTCGAGGGTGTCCTGACTGTGCTCATGCAGCAGCGCTACTGGCGCTCCACACCTTGCTATTTCGTGCTGGAACAGACACTCGAGAGCGGCGTAGGCGCCTCTGTAAGATTCACATTGAGACAGTTCCGGTATCAACCAGAGAGCAGGAGGCCCGGGCATCTCGTGGCTATTATAACATTGTCACAAAACGACGTGGTGACCGATTTAAGATCTCATCGACAGGTTAAACACGCGCTGGAGTTGCAGTTGGCGTCGCCCGATCAGCGCACAGAGGTTGCAGTGGAAGAGAGGGACGAAGAGAGCGGCGCACAGGTGCTGCGACTCGCCGCAGTGGACGAACGGATGCACGTCAAATGGTTACAGATGTTGAATTCATGTATTGCTAAGTTGATCGCACAGTCAGAGACGCTGTCTCGCCTTGGGGACTCCACAGGGTGGGATGCAGTGACGGAACCGGCCAAGATCGTGCCAATGTTTGGAGACGAAGGCAGGAGAGCAAGTGTGCTGGTAACCAGGGAGCGAGATCGCAACGGCAGTGGGATCAGTTATACAAGCAGTGAATGTAGCAACAACCACGCTGAGTCCGACATCCCAGCTGAAGAGATTCGAGCAGCGAGACAAGATCTTTTAATTGATGACGAAGAGGAAGCCAAGCCAGCGGTGCACGACGTGCAGGCTACAGCACGGGTAACTCCAGTCAGTGTAAGTGAAGAGCTACTGTCTCCAACAGTTGCCGGATACTGTTGTTCGCCGGAGTTTCCATCGAACGAGTCTTCGAACTCTCAAGAGTTAGACACAGACAATAACGCTACGGACGAGAAGGAAAGTAACAACCAGGAAGACAACCAAGGTGACGATGATTCCGAAGAAGATTCCATCGCTGGCGATCTTGCGACGCAGAGTTCTGTTGCGCCTTACAAGAGTGCAGTATTAGCAGGAAGAGGTGCTTCTACCTACCACAGTATGGGGATGGAAGGGGGAGTTTCTACCTACCAGCGTATGGGACTGGAGGACGAGTACACGAAAGCCAGCTCAAGATCAGCAGTAGCTGCAGTAAATGGGCCCAGACCGCTTCCTCGCGCTGCCTTCGGTGCTACCAGTAGCAGTTCCGGTTTATTTCCAATGATGCGGCCACAGACGCACTCTTTCAATGCGAACGGACAGGTGTTCACCCTGGATACTCGCTACCAACTAGTCAAGCCTATCGGTAACGGAGCGTACGGCGCTGTGATCGCAGTTAAGGACGTTGTGAATGGCGGCGACAACTTGGCTGTCAAGAAAATCACCAACATTTTCGAGGATCTGGTCGACGCCAAGCGAATTTTGCGAGAGGTTCGGCTGCTGGGCCACTTCAACCACAAGAACATCACACGGCTTCACGATCTGTCGCCTCCACCCTCTCGAAAGCAATTCGACGATATGTATATTATCACAGAGCTTATGGAGACCGACTTGCACCAGGTCATTTACTCCATGCAACCCATGTCAGACGACCATGTCAAGTACTTTTTGTACCAGATGCTGTGTGCGCTGCACCACATTCACTCGGCAGGAGTCCTACACCGTGACATGAAGCCCAGTAATATCCTATTGAACGCCAACTGCGACCTCAAAGTGTGCGACTTTGGTCTCGCTCGTGGAGGAGTCGGCTCGTCGTCGAGCTTGCAGCAGGAGCTACCGCAGCTGGGAGAACTCACTGAATACGTTGTCACACGATGGTACCGAGCACCAGAGATTATGTTGAATTGTCTACACTATACAACTGCTATCGACGTGTGGGCTGTGGGCTGTATCTTCGCAGAAATGCTCTTGCGCGAGCCACTATTCCCCGGAAATGACTATTTACATCAACTCAAGCTCATCATCAAGTTCCTGGGCACTCCAAAGCAGGAGGATATCGGGTTTGTGAAGAACACGAAGGCACTGCGCTTCCTCACGAAGCTTGCAATCTCTAAACCAAAGAAATGGCGGGATGTGTTTGCCACCAGTGGCGCTGAGAACGTCGTGAGTGCAGAGGCGATCGATCTGCTGAGCAAGATGCTGCTATTCAACCCGGACAAGCGCATTTCAGTCGACGCAGCCTTGCGCCACCCGTATTTGGCGACGTTCTTTGACGAGAACGACCTTATTTTGTCGAAGCCGTTCGATTTTTCGTTTGATCTGCCGGACGATCAGTTGTCAAAGGATGCGCTCATTAATCTTCTATGTGAAGATATTGAGCACTTCCATCCACCAGTTCCTCTCTCCGTTACGCCAATGCCATTGAGCACCGCTGCCAGTCGCTTCTTCCGGATGGGGATGACAGCATCAGCTAGTTAACAAGCGAGCAGTACAAAGAGGGCATTCTAGTAAAATAATCCAACAGTACGAACAGCGTCGTTGCGTGCACCCAAACTGATCCTAACGCATCCATGATTGCTATAGCTATTAGAGTTTTGGTGTTCGAACTGGTACGATTGACGCCTGTCCTGTGTGTGACAAAGGGGTCTTCTCAGCGATCGCCATCGTGTACGCCATGTTTCCAATATGGACGACGGCGTATCCTGGTTGTGCCGTCGTCTCACTGAATTCTGCACCTCTGAGTCATTTCAGTTTCGATGGGAGTTTCTGTGGTTGATGCAGGCTCGTTCCAAGCTTGTGCATCCCTGTTTGCCTTCGAAAGGCGGGAATTCGAGCTGTTACATGGCACGCCACCAGATACTTCGCTTTCAAATATTGGCACTCAGAGCTCGATGAACAGGTCAAGTCGAAGTTCATTTTCCCATTTTCCTTCAACTCCACACACCCGTTCCCAACAAGATCGTCATGATGAAGTTCTTCGCTCCACTTTTCGCCGGTATCGCCATGTTCGCAGCTCAAGTGAGTGGCAATGGAGTTTGCTACGACCCGGATCATGTTGCAGCTGCCGGCGCCATGACTGCCGAGAGCGTGATCGAGGATATGAAGGTCATCAAAAGCCATGGATTCACCACCGTGCGCACTTACATTTCCCAGTTCGGCAACACGAATCTGGGTCTACTAGTTGTCAACGCCAACCTCACCGCAGCTCTGGGTGTGCCGTACCCTCAGTCCGACTACGCGACGCAACTGGACGCGGCTCTTATTGCTGCCAACACCGGTGGCGTCGGCTACATCTTCGTGGGTAACGAGAACCTTGCCGGTGCCACTACCGTTCCCGGCGAAATGATCAATCTCATCCAGAAAGTCAAGTCGCTCGTGCACAGCACTGTGAAGGTCGGAACTGTACAGCGCAACACCGAGGTCATCAACTACGCCGGCATCGCCGGCTGGTCCGAACTTGTGGATGCTTGCGACGTGTTGGGCGTGAACGTCCACCCTTACTTCAATCCAGGGACGACTGCCGACAACGCCATCGATGTCGTCAATACCCAGTGGGAGATCATGGTCAAGAACTTTGGTGACAAGCTCATGGTTACGGAGACGGGGTGGCCGTCAGACGGATCTCTCTCGGGCAATACCGGCAGCATCGCTGGCCAGCAAACATTTTACAGTGACTACAAGGCGTGGAGCAGCTCGATGACCGAGTCCTTTTACTTTCAGATGTTTGACACACAGCACAAGACCAGCGCGTTCGAGAAGACTTTTGGTCTCCTCACGTCTGACGCGACACCCAAATACGATCTCACCGCTGCTGTTAGCGTTGTAGGCACAGTGAGCGTCTAGCTGCCACGAATTCAGACGTCTATAGAGTACTTGAGTCCGTTCTAAGACCAACATCACAATAATCATTCGCACTACATGCATTTGAAACTTGCTTTAGCTACTTTGGACCGAAGCCGCAACCCGTGAGGAACTGTTTGATATCATCACGAATGGAGAAACCTGAGCGTATATTGCACTGGATACTCGTATCCAAGGACACAATGTGGTGATACCAGTATGACGGGAGGTACAAAACTTCGCCGGCCGTGAGTGCGACTTCCGCTGCGGGACAGTTGCGTGCGTCTTCGGATAGAGCGCTTGTGTCCGACCAATTAAATGCTGTGTGACGCGCAGACTGACCCTGAATCATGAGTCCTAGACACTGGCACGCACTGGGTGGAGCGATGACGTAGCGCTTCGTTCCACGGATCATCGAGATATGGTTCAGTCCGCCATCAATGTGTCCATCCGCAATAATCCCACGCATTCCGAGACGACAGCGCATCCCGCGCTCCTTGGCTATTGCTGCATCCCGAATGAATAAATCACCGAACCGTGGATCATGTTCAGTTAGTGTTGGGTTGAGGAACTGCAGCTCGTTGTAGATGAATGACGCTTGCTTCGAGAAATCGTTCTGCTTGAGCATGAAGTAGTAGTATTCGTGAGGCTTGCCAGCTTCTTCCAATGGTTTGACGTCGCTGATAGTTTTGACAAATTGCGGATACGTCATCCAACGCGACTCGTACGTGTCCTTCTCGCCAGCAAGCTGCTTGCTTTTGAGGTAGTACATGAAGTGACTGTCGTTAGCTACGTGCACCTTGTACAACGCCTTCGGATTGAGTTTCTCCGTCAGGTACTCGTCCGTCCATCGCACAGCAGCAGCTGTGAGCTCTGGGATGCCATAGGCGACGAACGGCACTTCCATCTCCCGAAACATTTGAGCCAACCGAAACTCATACTACAATGTCAACAACATCGATTCAGTCTTTTGTAAAAAAAAATAATCGTAGAATATCTACAGCTTTGCTGCCACTTACCGGATCGGAGACGTTAAAGTGGCAGATGCTGTCGAAGATGGCGGGCGGCATTGCCGTGTTCTCTGCTTTCCAATTGTCGAATAACGCCGCAGACGGGAACAATTGCGGATAAGCTTTGCATCCTTTATCTCTGTCCAGGTCACACTGGAACCGTAGCGACGGCAGGTCGCACTGGAACGTGTTGTTAGCTCCATTGGGGTATCGAGAAGGGAGGATTCGCTGCAAACTTTGACCCTTCAGCATCACGACATCATTCCCAGCGCCCCACCGCAAAGCGTGCGTGTCACCGCTTGCTTGGAATCGCACCCCGAAACTTGACCACTGAATTTGGGACGGCGGGTAGACCCAAAAACCCAGACTTAAAACCGCCAGTCCGATCAACAGCAGTAGAGTGCTGCATTTAGCCCGACGTAATTCCCATGCGCCGCGACGCAGGAACGCAGTGGCGCGGAGCTGTGCAGCAGTTCCTGATTTCGCCATTGCAAGTCGTCCACACGGAGGAAAACGATAAGTGACATGGCTAAAAACTAGTTTTGTGAATACATATGGAGATGGAGAGTTTTGGACTGAATTCGTGATGGTTGCATAGATTTCAGGTTGCTAACAATCATATTGTTGGAACGTGCACACGGCCCTGTGAAATCCTCCAAGATACGTTTAACCTCTACAAGTTCACTTGAAGTGAATTGAATGGAGAGAAGCAAATGGTGCCAGCAACCGATCTCAACGCCAATTCCACTACTGATCGAGGTAGTGTAATCAGACAAGGCTCCAACGGGAATAAAACGCTGTGCTACAGCTATTGTTTGATATGCATCCCTGGCCGCTGATAGCTGGTAAATGAATCCGTATATTTGCGTACGATTTACACCGCACTCATGCATTAGTATGAACACATCATATGACTGCTAGCATCATCAGCAAGAAATAATTAGCTTAGAAATGAAGCAAAATATCGTGCTTCATACTCGCAAAATACGCGTGGAAAACAACAGTTGATGCTATATTTGAGCGCCCCAAGCTCCAAGCAACGTGCCATTATTATTCGTCCACTAATTTTGCGACTACGTAATACATTGTTAAGATTAATACATCGCGCGCCAGCTTGCACATGTATTTACGTGTATCGAGAATATTTCATTCTGATCTGACCAAAATTTAACGCACGCATTTTACAAGTCCGTCGCCCGCAAGATGGAGCCCAAAAGGCACAGCAACTCGATCTTTTGTTGACTGAGATTCACCTTTACAATATCAAAAGAAAGCGCTTTGTCGCACAGATAAAAGCGCTTTTGAAAGCAGTATTTCGAGGAAAAAAAAGTGCACATACATTTCAGTCCACCTTAGTCCTACTAAATCGAGTGAACAGGTATTCGAGCACAAGTTTCTTTTTTTATAGAAAAAACTTTTTTTAATAGCTAGACTTTTATCCTTCTTTTGGCTTTCTTTGTTTAGCCATCTTTGGACAGGTCTAAATCACAGTTTTGAGAGTGTGATGATGTTACCACTCCAAAATTGGGTGAAATAAACAAAGCCAAAAAATGAGTGGTTCTTAATTCGAAAAAGCCTTTTTTGAAAAGTACTTTTTTTAATAAAGTAATTCAAAATATTGGGCTACAAAAATCTACTCTAAAATCCATCAATCCAATGTTATTGGTGTAACCAACACAAAGCGTACCCTCCATTTTGTCGGTGGCCAGCCATTCCTGAAGCAGTCATGTCGTCGCTGCGGAACGTGGTAAAGCGGCGCGAGCACAAGGAGCGTGGACAGCTACGCGAGCGACGGAAGCTCGGCCTTCTGGAGAAGCACAAGGACTATGTGAAGCGTGCTCGGGACTACAACAGTAAGCAGCAGAGGCTCAAGACGCTGCAACTCAAGGCTGCACTGCGTAACCCGGATGAATTTTACCACCGCATGCGCGAGACCAAAACGGAGGGCGGAGTGCACGTGTCCACGCATAACCACCTTAAACCTGTAGAGACGGAGGCGCTTCGTACCCTCAAGACGCAGGACTTGGCATATCTGCACATGAAGCGCGCTGTGGATCTGCGCAAAGCCGAGAGACTTAACCGCGGTCTACACTTTGTGGACACACCCAAGAACAACAACCACACGGTCTTCGTGGACGATGAAGAGCAGGTGGACAGCTTTGATGTAGCCGAACACTTCGACACGGCCCCGGAACTCGCGGACAGGGCGTTCAACCGTATTCGCAAGCGCGACCTGGAGACAGCGGAACTGCCCGATTTGGCGGCGAATCCCAAGCAGAAATACAAAATGCAGGTGGAGAAGGACGCCATGTACAGGGAACTAAGAGACAGACTGGCGCGTGCTAAGAAACTTGGACAGATGAGCGCCAAACTGGACTTGGAACGCAAGGTGCAGGCCAAGGGCAGGAAGAAGAAGGTCAAGGCAGCGGAGAACGGTATGCCTGCTGTGTATCGCTGGAAGCAGCAGCGACAGAAGTAGAGCAAGTGAACTGAACAGGAGTCTATTGATTCATACATGCATTTTAGTTGGATGGTTACGCTGCTGAGGAGAGGTTCTGTTTAGGTCGACGGGGAGTACGGAGGTGGTGGCCATACGCTTTACGGATCTGCAGGAGAAGGTGCAGAATAACGTCGCGGTTGCCGACATAGATGGCACTAGCACGACGTAGCAGATGCAGCGGCATAGTCTAGGCATAGGAGATTAGCGAGCAAGGCAGAGTGAGGGCTGGATGAAGACGCACCTTCTTCTGCCGGAGGATGTTCAACGCCTTGGTGATGTTGTGCAGTGCGCTGGCTTTGCTTAACGGTTGGTTACTGGTTGGACGTGTGATACCTGGGATACTGCGCATGAACTCCACCTTCTCGACGATACTACAGAGCAACACACCTGACTGGAATTCCATCAATTTAGCATTGGAGTCCTGTCATGCAGCATGGAAAACGTAAGAGTGTCGAGTGATCATCATTGATTCACAATTGTGGTGTCGTACGTGAAAAGCCGAAATGCTTTTGAGGCGGATTCCCAAACGCTTCAACCACGTGAGGATTTCCTCAACGTGTCCTGGGGATAAATTGATGCTCAGTTGTGTTTGAACTGGTGGTTTGACTGGAGAAGGAGCTTCTACAGCGCCATTCTTGTTTTGCTCCACTAGCTCTATTGAGTCGGTACAAGCAGCTATCGGGGTTACTACTGCAGCTGTTTGTGATGGTTGAACAGAATGTCCAGACACTTCTCTTGTCTTGGGGATCGAACTTTGAATAGAGTCACTCAAGCTTTCAACGGATTCTCTTCTCTGTGGGTGAGTAGGAAAGAGATCATCTCCAACGTGATGCTTATCATGGATCTTCGCTGGAACTATATCGACGTCATCATTGTAAACTGGACTGGAGAATGGTGCTTTAGGAACTGGAAAAACATCATCGTCAACGTCCTCGGTTACCGGTAGATCATGTTCGCTCCATGCAAGACGACGTGCAAAGCTGTCGTGAAGTTTGACTTGGTGAGATGTTACTGCGCCATCTTTTATCACTAGTTTCCCTTGAGCAGCTAGAGCAATGGCTGGGATGTCGAGAACTAGTGGAGAAGGCTGCACGCGCGCTGATCGTTTCCCACCAAAGTTGACTTCTTCCGCTTTTCTCGTTTCATGAATACTTATCGAGGAGGATTGAGTACCCTCTTTAGCCTTTTCCATCGTAAAAGTTTCTTGACTAGCTTGCCGGAGATACCACAAAATCCCATACGCAATTTGTCGGTCTCCGATGAGTACAGATTGTTCTGCAGATGACGTTAAGTAGCAGGGCGGGACATGCTCGCCCAACCTTTCAAAGGCTTTTGAGATGTTTTCTCTGGTACAGAAAGAGATCAGTGTGAATAAAATTCAATCATCCAAAGCTCACACTCATACCTCATCTCGGCTAAAGTCCGGGGGGTCTTGAAATAAGAGAACGGTGCACTTTTCAAGTCTTGGACTAGCAGCGCACTGGTATACGAGTCATTAGCGCACCAACTTAGCTTCAGCACGTTAACTCATGAACGATGCTGAACTTACCAGAGTAAAACTCCGTTGCGAATTGGATCCTGTAGCACTCCACGACCGGAAACCTGCACGAAAACTCTATGAGGCAGCCATTCGTTGGCACTGTTAACCACTATCGAAATCACCTTTTTGGAATCGAACCCTGTATTAACCAGCCACTCATCCACTACGTGCATTTGCTCGTTTGTGATGTAAGGCAAGCTCCGCTTCAATGGTGCACACCCAGTGTGATCACTTCCCATACCGACGGCTTTCTTCCTTCTGGTTCGAGGTGAGCGAATACGCTTCGGGCTTCGTTTGGTAACCTTCGTTTCCTCTTGATTTCCATTAACAAGGAGAGTTTTAGGGACTATATCCATCGCAGTTTTAGATTTTGAGGCGGTACCAGCATGCTCACGTTGCTCCACCTTATTCAAGATTTCATCTAAATGACACCAAATTCTTTTGTGTAAATCTTGTTTTTCTCGAGACTGCACGATTTCAAACGCATTCAAAGCTGCTTGTGAGATCCCGAGGGTTTTGAACGTAGTGAGAGCTAAAGAAAAGTTGCGTCGTATCCCTGCAGGAGTTTGCACGCGTGCAAAATCTTCGTTTCTCAACTCATCGATGCCGGGGATATTATGATTAAGTAGGCCGTTACAGCGCTGAACAATAGCAGCAGCTATACGACGAAGAAGGACACCATTCGCGAATACTTGTCGAATTTTGCACGGGGAATTCAATCTCCCAGACTGCTTGTCAAAAACCTTCTTCAGAGGCATCTCAACCTGTAAGACCAGCCGAGCCCAGTTGCAAAACCGAACTGCACGCGCATCTTCACTAAAGTGACCGCCAGAATGATATTCTGCTACTGGATCGATCTGTACGTGAAGTCCGTTGCCTTCATTCATCACATTGGCCTTGAGCGGCGTTTTTTTCTTGCCGATAGCAGTCGGTGCACTTGTTGTTGTGGTGGGAACCTTTCCAAGGCTTCTTTCAGCTTCAGCAATCTGCTTCTTTTTGCCCTGCTTCGATTTTATTGATCTTTGCTCAGGAGTACTTGCTTTCTGGTCATGTTCGGAACGGTTTGTAGTTTTTGCACGCGTTTGTGATCGAGATGAAGACGTCTGTACGCGTTTGGACTTTTGTTTCGGTTCCTCATCCTCTTTGGATAGTTCATCACGTGAGTTTCTTCGCTGCAATGATAACTCAATCATCTTCTCTTGTTCACGACGGCGAAGTTCGTTTTTCTTACTCTCCGACAACTGATGCTGCTGTATACGCTGGCGGCTCAGCCGCTTCAACACGGTTAGTACTGCGCAAATGGCGTCACTCTCACCCGAAATCACTCGAGCTATACAATTCGAATCGTTGACGATGTACATGGCGTCCTCATCCTGACTTCGACATTCGCTAGCAGCGAACTGAACGACGCGATGTAGCCGTTCCACGACCCCGTCATTGTCAAAGCCATCACCTTCTGATATTCCATCGCCTGCATCAGCTGAGTTGTGCTAGAACAATGAAACACGAACATTAGACGCGAGTACTACAACCACGGACAGCTTTGGGGAATTACCTGCAGCCACTGTACAATTTCGTACAGCACGTCACCGAAGCGCAAATCACGCAGTCCCTCAACTAACAAGCACTTGGTAAGTGGCAGTGAGTTGACCCAGTGCAGCAGCAATCGCTCGTGGACCGAGTCACCTCCACCCGAAAGATTCATAGTCGATGAAGCTGGAGACCCACATGGCGTTGCATTCATACTTGTCATCGATCTTGAAGGGTCACAAGTCCGAAAACAACCTGGCTAGGTAGACTACGTCCACCAGACTTGTACTACCAGTTGCCTGCCTGCCAGGTAGCCAGTCGAATTGACCGTGGCTCTCACTCATCTCATGCCGCAAGATGATCACGTACATGTACTACCGTAGTCGGGAAATGCTTCCACAAGCACATCTAAAATCTGCTCCTGACTGGAAGCAGGTTTGAGGATGACCAAAGTGCTACATGTAGCCTGCCGCTTCCAGCTCGAACAAGCAACTTGAAGACGCATTCGGGTGTTGAGTCCGCGCCAAAGGAGCGGCGGCAGGTCTGCCCGACGCAGTTCCCAGAACTTTGGTGTTTGAAAAGTTCAACACGTACGCCTGACATTTCTGCCTGCAGCACTAGCAAATCCCATTCATAGACAGCACGGAGAGATGCTCGAGTCGCGTCCATGACAAGAGCGCCACTCCTGACCGTTTTATTTGGTTCTGTAACTGGGCTCGCAAAGAAGAGAAGGCTGGGTTCGGATTCGCTCTCTCTGCAAGGGGCGTCAACACGCTGCGCCAATGCCAGGGCGCACGTCACCTTGACGATTAATATGCTTGGCGGAGAGGCTGGCAGCTCAGCCACGAGTAATTTGCAGCAAGAACAAGGTTGCATCGTTCTACATGGCGACTCCATCACCTCGGTGCTACAGCTCCGGGAACGCCAAAGGAGTACCATGTGCTAATGTCAGGGCCCTGTCATTTTAGTGTGTCCACCGAAGAGGGTTTCAATGAACGTCGCAGCCAGGTGGCATCCTCCAGGTGGATCTCAAGACACTAGACCAACTAATTTTGCTCGAGATCGCGGGCATCCAGCACCAAACCGCAGTGCAGCGTGAGGCTGCCGGCCAGCGCAACACCATGCGTCGTTTTGATAATCGCGCCGTTAAACTGCAACAAGTCGGGCCCGGTCCGAATACTTGTCTGATACTGTTGCAGTCCACCACCTCAGCTCAGAACTCGAAACGTTGAAGATGTCGACGCTAAAGCGCAGTACATGTCGATTAGCCCTCTACCGTCATGCGGCCGAGAGCTACACTGAACGAGTCTAATACTAATGCAGCCGCAATAACGACTTGCCCTCCAGCGCGAAGGCTTCTTTCGGGTGCAAATCTGCCGGAGTATGAGGAGAAGCTGGGTCGACCATCTGACTGAGCACTCACATTCGGCTGTCATGGCCGTGCTGCAGCGCGCCATTGTTCATCGCAATGTCCCACAGTTGCACGCGTCAGCAACGCGGCGCGGCGCAGAATCAACGCACAACTGTGATGGCACTGCCGACAGATGGGGAACAACCGCTGAATCAAGAGATGTGGCGGGCGTGTGACGCTAAGCACGACCTCACTTTCAACTTGGCGAGGTACCGAGCAATAGAGCTACCACCGAGGAAAGCGCCTCGATCTCTAGCGTAGGCTACCACTACGAGACGCGCTTACTTGCTCGGTTAAACCTGTCACAATGCCCCGACAGAACTTAGCCACGCCGCCATCATCCTTGTCGGACTCGAACTCCTCCGGACGCCGGTACGCCCGAAAAAAAAAACTTGATCTTTGCTCCGTATCCTCTACCCGACGCTACGTCGGACACGGATGCAACGGCATTTAGCTCAGCTCAAGTCACTGACATTCGTTTCTGCGTTCCAGTGACCCCGGCGAAGCCATGCACGACAACGGCGGCCACTTCCCGTTACCCGACGACTATTTCCCGGAGATCCACCTCACGTCCAAAGAGATCAAGAACTATGAGTCACAGATGCAGGAGATCGTCAAAAACGCACTGGCGGAGTACGAGCTGCACGAGGCGAAAGGGGCGTACCCCGTCTATCGAGCCCCGTGGAATGTCGTCGGTAAGGTGGAAGGTCTCACGACGATCAAGAAGGAGACACCCGACAGCCCTACGGCCAGCCAGGCACGTATCTTTGGCCGCATTAACGGCGACTACCGCCACTTTATCGACTTCTTTTACGCCGAGACGTCAGCCGAGCTTTTCGCGTGGAACCAGTTCATGTTCGGATACGCCACGGATGCGGCGGTACTCAAGAACATCCACACGGTCGCATCCAAGGAGAAATGTCTGTACATGGGCATCAAGTGGACGTGTTTGAACCCGTCGCCGCTCGTCAAGAAGCGTGACAACTGCTACATGGAATACTTGAACTACACAAAGGACCTGCGTGGTCGCGATGTGGGCGTCCGTGTCACGCTCCCGCTCGACATCCCTGAATGTCCAGAGCTGCCCAAAAAGCTCAAGACTAAGCGGATTCGACTGAACACCGTTTGGATCTCAAGACCTGCCGATCGAGAGCCCAACGTGACAGAATTCTTCATGTTGTCCCGGAACAACTTCAACGGGTTGGCGGTCACCGCCAACTACTACAAGCGCATGATGAATATCCTTATGAACATGGCGGTCTTCGTGGACTCGCGACGCATTTTGATGCAAGGAGTGATGCAACGGAAGAGTTGGGCCAAGTCGAGATCACGTAAAAGTTGCAGCGTTTGTTCGCGTAAGTTCGGACCAACTCGCCGTCGCCACCACTGCCGTCTGTGCGGAGATCTCATTTGTCGGCGGTGCGCCATCGTACGTGACGCCCCCAAAGAGGAAGACGCTGACAGCGCGTCAACGGGATCAAACAGGACGTTCGAGATCGTCAAAACGAAATTCTGCGTGCTGTGCGTAACGAAGATGCGCGAGTCTCGCAACAACCTGCTGGTGCCGGTACCTGCGCCAAGCGGCAAACTATCGGTGGTCGACTGTGACTACGAGGCTTTGGATCTGGGCGAGTCCCGCCACTCGGGTGTTTCTGAGACGGAATCCGAGGGTGGCCATATTTCCTTCTTTTCCGAGACCGGAAGCAGCGCCCGATCGCTGCAGTTCTCACCGCGATCCACTTCGATCTCTTCGACCTCCTCAAGTATCGGCAAAATATCTTTCGTGTCGAAGCTCGATGTGATTGATGATCAGTCCGTGACAATTCTGGCAGACCCACGAATGACTGCCAGTGAATTGATCGAAGAGGAGGTGACGGAGGTTATCGACACGATTGATATGGTGCCGGTGTCGGCGTTCAACTCTTCAGTGCGGAGTTCAAACCAAGATGACAGTGGCAAGACGAGCTCGGGCAGCGGCTCCAATTGGTCTCCGCCCGGTTCCAAGACGTCACCGCGGTCGCTGGACCAGTGCCTTGCCGAGCAGGAGGAGCTGCTGCGCCGCATGATGCTCTCGGCCAGCGGTATGCGCCAACAAAACAGCACGAACCCAGGAAGCGGGATCTTGGGTAGCAGCGGGTGCGGTACTTCCGGTGGTGTCCAATCGACCAGGTCTCGCCCGGATGTTACACTCTACGAGGGATAACTACTCTTCGTCCTGTCTGCAAGAAGCATTATAAACCTAAGTGTAATTGAAATGTGTTGGAATGCGTTTTCTAACAGCAAAGTTATGTTGAACATTATGTTGGTCCCACTCGGCACATCGACGTTGGTGCTCAGGTCCTGAGGCCAAGATCGAGATGAGATTGTATGTAGACAGTGTATACTACAACTGTAGGCACAGCCACCATCGCTGCGATTACGTCCGGCACGACGCCAAGAGCAGCCTTAGCGTTCGAGGACAAGTGGTGCCTGACTTCAAGAGCTCGAGCCTCAACTTTCCGCCCTCAAAGCTTGCGGTGGCGATCCTGAATGGGTTGAGCCAAATGACTTTTTCGCGGCACCACGACAGTGATTCTCGGCAAATGGCGTCATCCTTCAGCTGCAAAACACAGAGGATGCTGCGGCTGACGAGCTCTTACCAAACGGGCAAGGAATGCACACGAAAGCCACTGCAGCGATTGCCGGAAGGTGGTCGGACTTCAGCGGAGACTGCAACTTGGCAAGCGATCCGATCCACACAAAACACATGAACCGGCTTCTGTGATTAGGGCTAGTCGGTTCAAGATCGCTGATAACTTCACTTGGAATTTGTAAGGGGTTCTGAGACGCGCGAGCGGATCGAGTCTCACGATCTTTTCGATCAAACGAGCGATGCCAATGCTGCCTCCCTAAACAGCATATTCCTCTCCTTTCGTCTTGTACGCAGCGCCGACCGATCGCTTGGATGCCTCACAAAACACTACATCTAAGCTGGCTTGATCCAGCCTCTGCAACAGCATATCAAACTTGTCATCGCGAAAAAATCAAGCCACTGCGTTGCACGACGGCCGGGCGTGTGTGCCTTGGTATCGCAGGCTTCATCGGATGGAGCCCATTCGCTCACTTCCGCAGCCATCGACATTTTCTCACTTGCCGGGGTGTTTGTCGTGCGTTCGGTCCGCCTTAGCAGAAGTGGCAAAGGCGGCGGTGATTTAAAGCTCCGCGACCGAACAACCGAGCAAGATTTCTCCACGTTGCTCAGCGCACACTTCTTGTTACTCTTCAATCGACGCCATGCCGCGCAGGTCGTCGCCCTCGATGCCACGCACGGCCTCCGTTAGCTCCACTACCTCATCGTAAGTCCATCACAGCTTTCTGAAGTTTGTAACGGCGGAACAGTTGCAGAGACCTTATGCTCGTCATATTCGATGCTAACGTTGTCTTGCTATTGCAGATATCGAGCTGGCAAGCTTCAATTTCCTCTACCAGATGATTATTTCCCACCGGTGAGCCTCTCGTTGACCCAGGTGCAGCAGTACCAGGATCAGGTGGAAGAGTTGGCCGTCAAGGCGATGGAATCCTGTCGGGACCACGAGAACCGGGTCGCTGGTTTCGGCCTGGAGGACGAAAGACGCTGGCAGGACGTTGCGCGCGACTCGGATCTTTCGATCGTCCGCCGTAAACAGGGTCCTCTTACCATTACGCGCACGTTCGGAACGGTAAATGGCGACTTCCGCCGCTTTGTGGACTTCTTCTCGTCCGAGACGTCCGAACAGCTATTCGCATGGAACCAGTTCTTCTTCGGCTGCGCTGTAGACGCCGTTGTGCTGTGTAATCTCGACTTGGATAAGTCGGACAAGCAGGCGACACTCGGTATTAAGTGGACCTGCATGCAGCCTTCAGTGCTCACGCGCAAGCGTGACGAGTGCTTTCTCGAGTACGTCTTGTTCAGGAAAGACGACCAGGGCCGTGACGCTGCTGTCATTGTGCGTATGCCTGTAGACATCCCGGAGTGCCCTCCACTGCCCCACGAACTGAAGACAAAGCGCGAAAAGATCACCACTGTCATGGTTGTACGCGAGTCCGACGCGTACCCGAACGCGACGCAGGTGTTCATGCTCAGCAAGTGTGACCACAAGGGACTCACAGCTTCCACTAAGTACTGCAAAAAGCTGCTGCGAGCACTGAAGGACGTGTCTCTCTCAGCCGACGCCAAGCGCATTGCCACAACTATTAGTGCTCCGGGATTCGTGGAGCAGTCGCGCGTCGGAGGCGAACCTGACGCTGGGGGAGCAACTATCCGGCCGTGGGTCCCCTCGAATGTTCAGCAGGGCTGCACGAGCTGCACTCGGCCCTTCCGAGCTGGCCACAGACGCCGTCACTGCCAGATGTGCGGCGACGTGTTCTGCTCGAAGTGTCTCGTTCGACGAGCTGGTATCCGACAGGACAAGAACACCTTCAGCAACTACATCACGATGACCAACCAGCGGACATTCCGGGTGGTGCAGTCGCTGTTCTGCAAGGTGTGCGTCACCCGTTCTCGCGAGGAAGACGCGGAGACTATCCAGGAGCAGATCGAGGCCACTCGTCGCTCCGTGGCATCGTCCAAGTCGTCGTCGCTACCTCATCGTTCGTCAATGGGGTCGTCTACTCAACCACAGAGCTCTAAGTGTTCTACTCCGACGTCTTCAGTGCCACGTAGTTCTCTTTCCCAGCAGACCGACGCACCTCGTCGCAGTGCGACTTGGAATGAGGAGAACCGTGCGTCGTGGTGGTCAGAAAACGAGTCCGACACGTGCAGTTGGAAGTCTGGATCCAGTCGATTCAGCACCATCTCGCGCAACTGCAGCGGAGCCCCCACGGTGCGTTCGTCGTTCAGCTCCGAGTATTCTTTGGGCAGAAATTCCTTCCTGGCAGTACAGTCGCTGCAAACTCCCCGCGAAATCGATGACGACCGGATTGACGACCGCATCGACGAACGCTCCAGTATCTATGAGGTGATCGACACGAAGGACATGATGCCCGAATCCGAGCTTCAGAAGCAACTGCGAAGCCAGCAGTCCTCTGCGTCCGATTCGACGGACTCGGATGATGGTTACTTCAGTGAGTTCTCCGATACCGTCCGTGGTCGATACACGTCCACGCCGGTGGCTCCGACGTTCCTGCCGCCACGCTCGACGACTGGCCGGCGCACCCGTAGCACCGACCAGAACGAAAACTCGGCTTCGTCCAAGTCGCTGGACCAGTGTATCGCGGAGCAGAACGAGCTTTTGCAGCAGGTGCTGTCTGCAAGCCGCGGCTTCGCTCCCGAGACACAGGCACGCGCCAAGGCGTCGTCTGTCAGCCAGAGCATTCACGAAGACGACGAGGGCCACGACGACGGCGTTTATGAGCTGTAAGTCACTCCGTCTAAGGCAGACGGAGGAATCCATCGCGAAGACAGCGGTGATAATAAACAAACCACTCAGCAAGCTATGAGCAGAGTACACAGAGATATAACTACCATTTCCATAGACGTATCAATCATCTGCATGTTGCACGCATTGGCACACGGAATCGTCAGCCTTTACTCATCCACTCAACAAACGTCCACTTGCCGATAGCGCTCAAACGTTGAAGACGGCCACATTACGCCGCCCGTCGCCTTGACAAAACGACAGACGCATTGAGTTGGCATTGCACACGATGTACAAACGAAGGGTGCCAGTCTCCACGAAAGCGTGCGGTGAACCATGTACCGTAATAAATCTAGCACTTGCATTCGAGTCAAGAGCGTGGGTTAATGTAAGCCAACAGCCCATGAGTAGCTGGGTGTCATGCCGATGAGGCACAAGGAGAACGCACGTGCTTGCGTCGTAAGCGACGTCCTCTCTCCATGCAGGCGAGCGTGTTGACACCGCATCTCGCAAGATAAATCCGGCCGCCGATACTTGGCTGGGGCCTCGGTATCAACGAATCATTGAATGATACCATCATCTCATCCGTGGCCCCATCTGGCCGTTCACATCACCACCTGCGTGCAAGGTGAAGACTGGGCAGAACTCACATTGCTCAACTTGCGCGATGCCTGGCACGGGCCTGTAAGCTTCGCCAGTGTTTCCTCGCATTGCAACTGCCCTCGACTAACAATGCGTTTGTGCTGTGTGTTGGTTGCATCGGGTCCGACATGTTTGCTACCCGAACCAGCAAAGTGAACGCGTTTCCCCTGCCCGACGGCTACTTCCCGGATGTCCAGCTATCTGCACTCGAGATCCTCGAGCTGGAGGAGAAGATGGCGCTCGCGGTGAAGAACGCGCTGGCCGACTACGACGTGCACGAGGCCATGGGCTCGAATCCCATCTACGGGACCGGCTGGAAGACGCTGGGCAAAGTCGGCGACCTCACCACTGTCCGCCAGAACGGTGACGCTTCCAGGTGCCAATGCCGCATCTTCGGCCGCCTCAGTGGGGACTACCGCAATTTCATCAACTTCTTCTATGCGGAGACCTCAAACCAGCTCTACGCTTGGAATCAGTTCATGTACGGCAACGCCATTGACGCCGCCATTTTGAAAAACATCCACACCAGTGCGTCGGGTAAGCCTCATCTGTACCTCGGTATCAAATGGACGTGTCTGCAGCCGTTTGCTCTCGTCAAGAAGCGTGACACGTGCTTCCTTGAATACATGACCTTCACCAAGGACTTGCGAGGTCGCGACATCGGAGTGCGTGTGAATATGCCACTCACTCTACCCGAATGCCCGCCTCTACCTGATAAAATGAAGACCAAACGAATGCAGATGCTCATCGTCTCCATTGTACGCCCAACGGAGGGAGATCCACATTCGACGGAATTGTTTCTTATGAGTCAAAACGACTTCGCGGGATTCGCCGTCCCCGGGTTCTACTTCAAGAGACTCATGGCCAAGATGAACGACATGTCCATCTGGGTGGACGCGAAGCTCATTTCAATCCACGGTATCATGAAGCGCACTTGCTGGGTGGACAAGAAGTCGCGCTCCGAGTGCCGTCTGTGCTCTCGCGATTTCACTCACACCCGCCGCCGTCAGCACTGTCGGCTGTGCGGTGAGGTCTTTTGTCGGCAGTGTTTAATCTACCGCGGCGCACGGGAAGGAGGCGAAGACAGTGACAGCACAGAGAAGACTTTCAACGTTGTGCAGACAAAGTTCTGCCGTGTGTGTGTCGCTAAAGTGCGAGACTTGGACGTGACGTTGCTGGCACCGGGGACGCGTGGCAAGATCGATGACAAACCAGCAGCGCTGAGCATGTTTGCAGACTCCGGGGCGTCGACAAAACCTGACGGTGAGCACTCTGGAGATTATAGTGCGTCATCCGGTTCTGAACTGCTTGAAACGATCCGATCGTCCGGTGATGGTGATGTTCTAGATGACCAGCGCAGCGATCTCGGTGAGGTGGACCAGAAACCTATGGGGGTCGACATGTCGAACCTCATGTCCGCGTCTCAAATGATGCGGCGGATCAACGCTGGAGCTTTCGACGAAGACGGACCCACTCGTCAACTGACCGACAGCTCGAACAAAATAGCATCACGACGAACGATTGACCAATGCATTGCCGAGCAGGAGGATCTACTGAGGAGGCTGATGCGCGCTGCTCAAGATAGAGCACAACCGTGAGGCTCAGCTCCTAGGACTTGTTTGCACCGGTTCAAGATCGCACGGACAGCAAAATGTGTCATGGCGCGTTGCATGGCAGCAAGCATTGGATAGCCCCCACGCACGTATGCGATCGCCCATCGTGCCTTCCAGCGGCATCGCGGAAAAGCGAGATTCTCGCTCTTCCACTGCGAGTTTTTTTTTTTCTCGGACGACTGGACTTCCTCACAGGGAATACCATTTTTGCGCTAACAATTAACAATGAATATTATTGAGCACACGACGAAGTCCTGAAGCGTTAGGTGTGGCCAATATTTTTTGCTTCGCCTTGACACAAGCGTCGGAACGAAGCTCCTTGGCCGGCCTTTCTCGGCCCTTCCAGTCATTCGCGTTTCGCGCTCGCATGTCCTGGTGCTGACGAACGCGAGTGGATTGATACGTACCAGGGCCGGGGCGGAACTTGCAGCAGCGGACAAGTTGCAAGTTGTCTGGCATGCAAGACTCTTCAAGGACATCGAGTCCGCGTCAGCTCAAAATGACAGGTTATATCTTCACATTGAGACGTACCAACACAAGGTGAACATGTACATGAAAGACGTAGCAAAACCAGTTGAACGTGTAGGTGCAATCTCTTCTTTAGGAGCAACTAGACCACTGAAACATTAATTCAGAAAATGGCAATACACTCGAAGGCCCTAACACTACGTGTGATGTACGTGACTACCCTACAACCTTCTGCCGGGCGTCATCGTTAGTTGTTTTAGTTCGATCATGGTTCGAACGTTTTCTGCTATCCGCGCGCGCTTGGAGGGTAGTAGCCGGCGGACGAGTTGGCCGCCATCACCAAACGCTTTAAAAGCACTTCCTGCTCCTGAAGACGCTGGTCGATGGACACGTTTGATCGCGCTGAGCTGAATAAGACCTGCTCTGCTAGTGCACCGCCGTCCATAGGAGATTCGTCCAGCGGAGACGACACGATCTGCCGTGTGGTGGAGACAATTTGGGTCGATTCATCGTCAATAATCTCGATAACATCGGCCTCGTCGTCGTCGTCGTCGTCGTCGTCGTCCATCGGCGGAAGCTTGCCGCTCCTGTTGCTCGAAAATCCGTGGCCGGATTCGTTGTCTGCGTTTGACGGTGAGTCCACGAGGCGAACGGCCTTGAAGTCCAACGCTGCAAGAGATTCACGCATCGCCCGGATTTCCTCTTCCTCGATCTCCTGGACAACACGCTCCGCTCCAGCCATCGTTCGGAGGTGGCGTAGATCAATCACCATTGGAGCAACAGGTTCCGTGACCTCGACCTCGATCTCATCGTCCTGGGACGACGACACGCTTGTTTTCGTTTCCGAATGAACCTCCGCATCGATACTGTTCGAGAACTTTCCTTGCAGCAAGCTCGTGCTTTCAATACTGCGGTCTTCGTCTTCGACATCCTCTTGTTGAGGTGGTGCAGAGCGAGCTGAGCTGAGGTTAGCCGGAGATAGGGAAGCAACCGATGAGCTGCCATTCAGCGCGTTATTGTACTCGTTGTCAAAGCTTCGGCTGCGGGACTTGTCCGCGAACCAACCGGTGGACTCGGCATCCGACGCACCTTCGTCCTGACTGTCAGCCCCCGCGATGCTTTTGGTGTCGGAGTCGCGAACCTTACCCATACAGGCCTTGCAGAACATGGTCTTCACTACTTGGAACGTGCGGGCAGGTGAAGAAGCACTGTCATCAAGCATTGGGGCGTCACGGATCGTCATGCAACGACGACAAGCCACTTCACCACAGAGACGGCAGTGCTGCCGGCGTCGCGTGGGGGAGAACTTGCGGTTGCACACGGAGCAGTTGGCGCGTGCCTTCTTCGGCGCCCAACTGCTGCGATCCAGCATGCCTTGCATCGAGATGCGCTTCGAGTCCGCAAACAACGCCATAGAACTCAGTGTGGTCATGAGTTTTTTGAAAGTAGCAACTGATGAAGAGTTCGAGCCCTTGTACATGTCGACCTCGCTGGTCGAGAAGATCTGAGTAGCGTCGGCGCCGTCGTTCGTCGGACGAACGATTGTCACCGTGTGCGTGTGAATTCGCCGGGTCTTCAGCTTATCCGGCAGCGGCGGACACTCATCCAGGATCAGAGGCAGCGTGATACGGACACCGACGTCTCGTTCCTGTAGATCCTTAGTGTAGACGAGATACTCGAGGAAACACATATCGCGCTTGCGCGAGAGCGACGACGGCTGCAGACAAACCCATTTCATGCCCAGATATTGGTGCGGCTTGTTGGATTCTTTCGTGTGGATGTTGCACAGCACCGCGGCATCCACGGCGTATCCATACATGAACTGGTTTACGGCGAACACCTCTTGTGATGAAACGGAGTAGAAGAAGTCGATAAAGTTGCGGTAGTCGCCGTCCACGCGGCCGAAAATGCGCGAAGCTTCGACTGCCCTGGACGGATCGACCTCACGAATAGCAGTGAGGTGCTCGACGTTGCCCACTACGCTCCAGCGAGAACCGTAGTCTGGCCGAGCACCCATAGCCTCGTGCAGGTTGTACTCGGCTAGTGCGTTCTTCATGATGATCTCCACGCGTTGCTCATATACCTCGATCTCGGCCGGCGTAAGGTTTACCGGCGGGAAATACCCGTCCGGCAGAGGGAACTTGACGTTGCTAGCATTCATGCTCGGAGTTGCGCCGCTGCTCGCCATTAAGCAGCGTTCGGTTGGGTGCTCCTGAACGACGACACGCCTAACACCAAACGCTCCTTTTGCAGTGTGTCGCCCCCGACCAGCACGCAGATCACAGCGCTTGCCGAGCGCTGTGCGCGATTGTATTGGCCCGTCCACCGTGTGCAATGCTGCAACACTGCAATGCCGTCGTCTTTCAGGGAAGTTCCCTGCAACTCGAATTGCCGCCTTTCGCGTCGGAGCCTCCTCTATGCAGGCGGTGTGGGGGACAAAGACATTCGGTTTCGTGGCGCTGGGGAAGCGGTGAGGAGATTTGCATGGTGAGGACTCCGAGTCGGAGCGCCTCGGTCGAAGCGCTGATCGACCGGGATCGGCTCTGCAGGCCTTAGTCGAGCATGGAGTTCGGCACCGGTCTATGGAGTGACAACATACCGTTCAGAGAACTGGTTCTCCATCAACCACGCTCCGCCGCTTGTGGCCGATGTGCTATCGCACGCAAGCTCAACCACAGTGTGGAGACCGTGAGCAGCAGCATTTCGTCTGCCATTCACGCATTTCTGCGCGTCGACAACGGCCTACTCGTTATACTCTCTCTTATCTGTAGGCGCAGCTACATGTAGAGTGACAGAACTAAATACATACACGTTCAATTGCTCTGCTTGGTGGTACGGCGAGGTTGGCCACTTCAACTTCACTGTTAAATGCCTCACGAATTTCACATGGCGACCAGCAAACCATACGGCAAAGTGGCCATCGTGGTGCTCGAAAGCTGCCAGGTGTTTCAGTGAGGCATCTCGGTGTTGCTTTCGCGTCTGCGTTCGGCGCCACTTGCTATCAAGCAAGACTGTTGACCTCGGAGCTTCCACTCTATCCTGGCACTGGCAGCCTCCGGCGCACTCATCCGCTGCTTGCCAAGACAGAATGGTGCTGGATTTGTCAGTGCCAAATTGTCACGCTGGACATGTAAATGTACCTCCTCAAGGTTACCCAAGTTGGAGCGAGGCACTCGGCGACGCCATCAAAAGCTGACTTCGGACTTCGATCTCGAACTCGTCTCCACTGGAGACTCTCCGCACCGTGACCGCCCGGCGGGATCGAGTGCGTGTGCGATCCGTTCGCAATTTTTGTTCTTGACTTGTTCGACGATACCTCCGCTTCGTCACCGATGGCGTCGCACATCTCGTTGTCTCCATTCGACCAAGCGGATTGAAGTGTTGCAAACATCCGTACATGTTCGTAGAGCTCATGGAGATTCATGGCGGAGCTTTCGAGCGCTGCGGGCGAATCGCCACCTCCTCGCAGCATTGGGCATTGCTCACGACACATCTTTTACGGGGGTGAGCAAGATTTGTGGAATTGCTTGATTCGGCCACAAACCGCCGGCACAAACACGGTCCACCCTTATTCTTTTGCTTGAAGCAATACATGTACGAATCGTGATCTACGTACCAATTAACATTCGTGCCACGATTTCGCCACAGCCATTGACAACGTCCAATGACAATTGCTAATGCATTCGCCCCCTCCCTACGCCTACGCCGCTGATTCAGCGGTGGCGATGAAAAAGCGTGTGTGTAATTGAAGCGCCACGTTGGCTACAGCCGATGCTTGCGTTGGTGACCAGCACGTTGACGGGTGAATTACGGATGCCGAATCCGTAACAATGTGCTGGCGTGCTCGAGCAGTCCGAGAGCCGCGCAGCCATGAAGCCACTGGCGCGAGGAGGTCAGACAAGTATTTATTTGCATCGCAGTTCGCTAGCGTTTCGATCGGCGCATAGATGCTCGCGCGCAATGGTCTCGCGTGACCAAGAGCCCGGGTCCTCGCTTTGAGCCATCCAGTTTGCCGATGCCCTGCTCCGGCTACGCTCGAAAAGTAAGTCACCTCGACCCTTCTGAAGCACATCGCGGCAAATGTCCCCAGCTGGACCTACACGCATCCGTCTCTCGGTGTGAGGTGGCCGCTCGAGCGGACTGCAGCTCTTGAACGGGATCATGATAAACCTCCGCCGCTATCGCGAGATTAGTTTAGTTTCCATTTTTCCGCCATGCTGTCCTCGAGGCGCAGTCGCACCTTGTCACGGTACGTTCGACTGGCTGGAAAGCTGACTCACTAGCAGCCACGGGCTCCGATAAAACTAACCACGGTATCCGTTGCTCACTTCAACAGGAACGACTCGAAGATATTCCCATTGCCCGATGACTTCTTTCCGGAAGTCAAGCTAACGGAAGAACAGGTTTTGGCCTACGAGATGCAGGTCGAGGAAATCGTCCGAAACGCACTGCTCGAATACGATCGCCATGAAGCTAAAGGTGCCTATCCGATCTATAGCTCGCCGTGGGTGCCAGTTGGTAGCGAAGGTCCTTTGACTGCCATTCGAAAGGAGTCGCCTGAGGGGCTCTCGAACAGCGAGTTTCGTCTCTACGGATGCATTCAGGGCAACTACCGCAACTTCATGGATTTCTACTATGCCGAGAATTCACAGGAGCTATTCGAGTGGAACCAGTTCATGTACGGCTACGCGGTGGATGCAGTCGTGCTGAAGAATATTCACACGAGAGACTCTGGAAAGCCACACGAGTACTTGGGGCTTAAATGGACGTGTCTGCAACCTTCGTCGTTTGGACGCAAGCGCGACAACTGCTTTCTCGAATACCTGACCTACACCAAGGACGAGCTTGGTCGCAGCGTGGGAGTGCGCGTGACGCTGCCGGTCGAGATCGACGAGTGCCCGGATCTGTATCGCAGTCTGAAGGTGAAGCGTGTTAAGACCCACAACGTTGCCATCGTTCGCCCGGCAGGATCTTCTTCCGACGCGACGCAGCTCTTCGTCATGAGCGAGAACGACTTCGCCGGCTTGCCGGTGAGTGCCAAGAACTTCAAGAAGTTCATGCGCATCTACAACGACATGGCCCTGTTCGTCGACTCCAAGCATATTCTGAAGCAGGGAATGCTCTGCAAGTCGAATTGGATGCCCAACAACTCGCGAAAGGCTTGTACGAACTGCCAGCTCCCGTTCAACGCAGCCACTCGCCGTCGCTCCCACTGCAGACTCTGCGGAGACATTTTCTGCAACCACTGTCTGATTGTTCGCAATGTGCCGCGCGATCAAAGCGGAGCTTCCAAGTCGCGCATCTTCCAGGTAGTAAAGTCTCGCTTCTGTAAAGCGTGTCTCTCGAGGGTACGCCGGGGAAGCGAAACAGCGCACGCAACTCAGCCTGCGCTGGCACGTGGTTGTTCGGACACAAATGTCAGCCGTGTTGCCACCGTCAACCGTGATAACAGGAAGCTGCGTAAAGCTGCGAGCATCACCAGCGATCAGAACAGCTTACGGCAAGAGTGGTGGGACGACATCGCATCTGACTCCGATTGGTCCGAGACGGACTCGGAGGACGCCAGCAAGGCGTCGCTCAACGCTTCAGGCCGGTCGAGACTTGCTAGCTCGCTGTCTTCGTCGCAGTCGTCGTGGACTACGACTCGCCCCGAAGACACCTTGGAAAAGGACGATATGTCGTTCGTGGCAACGCTGGATGTCATTGATGACGACGTGGCTATTCTCGACGAGAAACCACGGAGCTCCAAGGCCAAGCTGCACAAAAAGCTCTCAATGTCCGGTCGGTACTCGATGAGTAGGAGGCATTCAACTCGCAAGCAGCAGAAAGCGCAGTCGTCCGAGGAGACGCAGGAGGTCACCGAGGTGATCGATACCACCGATATGATGCCAATGTCCGAGCTACGACGACAGTCGCGGGCAGGAACTACTGGCGTTGTGCTTCCAGCCCGAAAGTACAGCAAGCGGAGCAGTGGACGGGAATCGCTGCTTAGCTCGAGTGGTCCTAGCCGACGTCTGAGTCGGGACGAGCCCACCAACCGGTTCCGCTCGTCTCGCTCAATTAGTCAGTGCCTTGCAGAGCAGGAAGAGCTACTGCGTTGTATGCTTAGCGTCAGCCGAGTGCATTCGAACCCTGGCGGGGGCTCCAGGAGGAGAGTTTCGAAGCCACCTAAGGTGGATTTTGCGGCGACGATGCCCGCGCCGCGCCCCACCATTCGGTTGTATGAGCTTTAATCTCGATTCGAGTCTACAAGACGGTAGTTTACCGACATGCTTGTCTATTATTTAGTGATTCATAAGCTATAATGAAGGAGCAGGCTGCGATCGAAGCAGTTGGCTATTCAGGTATACATCTACGGTGAGGATTTCTTCTGTTATCGCCTTGCAGACATGGAAAACATGGCGCTGGCTGGACCAGTGAGGAGGTTACCACTTGCAAGTTGTAGGCCCAGTCCATGACGAAGGGACATAACCAACGACGACAGGATGAGAGGACCGCGTGCCGCTACCGCTATGGATAGCCTTGCCACTGCCAGAGAGTGCCGGCCTGCAAAATCGTCATGGCCATGCCGTTGCGGTTCCATGCTGCGTGTATCCGGGATTGAATAGGGCCTGAGTGTGCTTCCCGTGCAAGGAAACCCTTCCGCGTTGCAAGCTCTTTTCAGCTTTTACTCTGGTTGCCGAGGCACAGAAATGCGTAATAAACATCACAAGGTCTGGCTGATGGAGACGAGCGTTACGCCACGACCAACACCAGCTCACCAAAGCTGACATTTTTACACACTTAAACGACATATCCTCCTGCTAGAAGCTGATGTACATGCACTGCGCTTTCGAGGGGTCCTGGTCCGCTTTTCCGACGGTATTTGCCGCTGAGGCAACTTCAACGTGCGGCCATTTTGCGCATCGCTTGAGGGACTTCACTCTGCGAAGCGCTCGATCCTACATGTAGCTTTACTGCCCAACACCTTGCGTTTTGTGCTTGTTGAAACGCTGGTTTGCATCTCTGTCGCCTTGGGTGAATTCAAGGTTATCGAACGTGCGTGTGTGCGTCGCTTTGCGCCGATAATACTATTTTTTGCAATATTATTATTATCTGTTTACGGCAGCATCATTTGATAGCACCACGAACAATCCGTGAACCCAGCGAAATCAACCTCGCCATTCTGTTCTGTCGGTACATGTACATGACCACGGGCATTATGATAAACATCGACTGCATTTCTTGGGTTCTTCCTTCGGCAGAGGAAAGTCGTGCGCAATAGTTAGGATACCTGTGAAGTTGACGCAGCGATTGGTGCGAATACGTTTCTCCCTGGTGTAATCCTTGCTACTTCACTGGCATTTTAGCTGCCGCTTGTGTTCATATCGCACGTTGCTCCGCGATAGACTCCATCGCAGGCACCTGGTCTAAACGCAACAAGAGGCCTTGCTGGCCAGTTACATGCACTTCGCCCACCATAATACGAAGCTAGTGGTGAATAAGAACTGTACTCATCGTTCTATTGGATTTTCCAGCACTTCTCAGAATTTATATTACCAGCAATTTTTGTGTTTCACAAAACTAATTGCTGTGCCCAGGTTTCGAAGACAAGCGCGGCACTGACAAAGACACGAAGCTGGGCTTCCGTCGATCTCGCTCCTTGTTGCCGCCGTCTCCTCCCCCTCGCAGCCGCATCTGGTCATGGCGGAACCCCGCAGCATTCGCGGATTTCTAGGAAGGCGCAAGCACCGCAAGCACAAACGATCGACCGCTGACTCGCTCGAGGATCCGCACGCCGCCAGCGCCAGTATCACCAGCAGCCTCACGTCCGACACCTCCGCCGTCAGTATGGAGGGAATGCTCAAGAAACGCGTGGCCAAAATGCCGGTGATGCACGATCGCTACTGTGTGGCCACGTGGGAGATGGACGCGCACGACCGCAAATGCGTCATGCTGCGTAGCTACAAGAGCCGCAAGGCCTACGACGCGCATCCTGAGAAGCCCTCGAGTGTGCACGAGATCAAATGCATCAGTGACTGGGACGGCAAGACCGGATTCCATCGCTATCAGCACGCGTTTACCATGGAGACACGCGATAAAAAGCTCTTCCAGTGCGTGGCACCATGCGCAGCAGACAAGGACAAGTGGCTAGAGCTTATGGCCATCCAATCGGCCTTCAGCAGTACCCGTGACGTGCGTCTAGGCAGCGTCGGCAGTCTCGTACCATTACGACGCACACAGAGTGTCGAGTCTGCGGCTGACAACAGCAAACCGCGAGCATACACAGGCGCCTCAATGGGCAAGACAAGAGCCGAGAGCGCCGCGGACATGGAGCACTCAACCGACTCAGAGGATCAGATCAACTTTCTAGGCCACGACGGGCTCTTCAGAACCGCATCAGACGCGTCGTCCAACTCGCTGGAGCTGCCCAATGGCGACAAGAGCGAGCCTGCGGACTGGGGACTGTATGGTGAGGCCAACGGAGAGACCAAGTCCAAGTACGACGTACTGGACGATGCCAAACCTGTTTTGCTGGATAAGGAGCTGCTGGATGCGCGTGGAGAGAGCAAGACACTGGCCTCGGACCAATTCCTGTTCGAAGAGGCCGGCGCCAGTCGATTCGGCGCTGTGGTGGTCAAGAAAACGGCGGAAAGTGACGACGAAGACGCCGAGTTCATCGACGAGAAGTTCACGGCGCGTGAGGCCCAGAAGGAGAACGAGAAGAACATGAAACGCCGCGCGCAGAAGCTCGAGTCCAACCGCGATCTGTACGCCGAGATGGCGGCCGCGAGACTCGCCAACATGCGCAAGGACGCGCGCCATCCGAAGAAGAGCCACAGCAACAGCCACAGTCGCCCGTCCGCTGGTAGTGACGAGAGTATTGAGGAACACGACGAAGACCAGTCGATGGCTGTCGAAGAAGAAGTAGAAGACCTGGAGGAAATGCACCAGCGTCGTAGCAGCCGCAGCCGTCGCAGCTCCAAGAGCCACAAGAAGAGCTTTGTGAGCAGCAACGAGAACACCAACAGTGTCGCTGGTGGATACGCTAGTGGGGAGGACGAAGAGGAAGAGGAGACCGCGGTGCCCGATGCTGTTGCCCCAGACACGACTGAAGCGGAGAGCGCAGAGGCTGAAGAGCTTCGTCAACTGAAGAAGAAATACCGCGCTGAGCGTCGTGCTAAGAAGCGGTTGATGAGGGAGAAGGAAGAGGAGGAACGCACTGCAATGGAGGCGGCTGAGCTGGCTCGTGCTCATCGTGAAGAGCAACGTGCTCGTGAAGAAGCTAAAGCCCGTGAGGAGCAAGAGAAACGTGACAAGAAGGAGCGTCGTGAGATGAAGGAAAAGCTGAAACGCGAGAAGGCAAAACAGCGTCAGGCTGAAGCTGAACTCCGCAAGTTGGTGGAGCTGAAACAGGCCGAGGAAGAGCGTCGAGAGCGAGAACGCAAGGAGAAAAAGGAAAAGAAAGAGAGAAAGAAGGCCAAGAAGAAAGAAAAGTACACGTCGCCTGCTGAGCGTATCCACAAGAAAGAGGAACGCGATGCCGAACGCGCGGCTGAGGCTGCAGCAGCAGAGGCTGAGGCTGAGGTCTCGAACGCCTTGGTCGTTGTGGAAAAACCCGTGGAACAGAAACCAACACAGCAGGCGCTAGCGGTCCCAGAACCTGCTCCGACGCCGGCCCCCAAGTCAACACCAGCGTCCGTCCAGACGGATGTTGTTCCAACAGAACAAACTGCACCTGCACCAGCTACAGCACCCTCCCCCGTCACCGCTCCTGTTGCAGCCCCCGTCTCCGCTCCAGCTCCAGCTCCTGTATCGAATGGTGCAGTCCCTGCTGCTCAAGCGATGCCAATGTATCAGATGGTCCCGCCACCGTTCGTGCCGACATATCCCGTCGGCCCGCAGAGCATGCCAGCGTACGGTCTCGCGGCAACTTTTGGCGCATACCCTCCTCTTTACCCTGCTCCGTACAGCTACGGAGGGCCCGTGGGACCGCAGTCTGTCTTCATGCGCCCGAACATGGGTTTCGTGGCCGGACTGAGCGCCATGGGGTCGTTCGGCAAGGCTGCCGGGCCGGATCCCGCTCCTTCCGGCCAGGATTATGCGGAGCCCATGATCGGCCCGCAGCTCCCCACCCCAGAAGAGCGTGCCGCTGCCTCCTCAGCAGGTGCGAGTGCTCCTCCTTCCCCACCTCCGCCCCCGTCAGCGAACACGTCGACCGGCGCCAAGTTGACAAATTTGCCAGAATTGCCGGATGTGATCGAGTTCTAAGCTGATGTGTGAGTTGCCTAAGTTAACTAAAAGTGCAAAACCTTTTTGCCTCATTAGTCATTGACTCATTTTGCTTCTGACAGCCATCTGATGTGAAAAAGGTCGTTTCGTGGCGAACTAGAAATCGAAATTCGCCTAAAATTATCACCGAGTCGGCAACTTGGCAGCGTATTCCACCTGGAAGTTTCGACCATGCGCGTGATGCCGGCTCCGGCGGCGTCGCGGCGGTCCAGTCGCAGCCGCCGGCGCTCATCGGTAGCGCGAACTCCAAGTCGGTTGACAACGCTGTTGCTTCGTCAACGTGCCCGTGCGGGTTCATCCGAACGCCTGCTGAACGAAAACCACAATGCATTCGACCCGAGTTCCCGTTTCATCCGGATCTGCCAACAGCTTCGACTTGCTGCGATTCTTTTTGAACTTGTGGCAATTCCATTCCTACCAGCTTTCCATCCAGAGACCTCGCGATCTCAACTCATCGGTATCTACGCATGTGAACTACTATTCTGTGCGGATATCTACGTTCAGCTCAACACAGGTTACTACGAGAACGGAAATGTATTACGCGATGCCAAGAAGGCACGACGAAAGTATCTCTCATCACCAGCTTTTGCAGCGGATTTATTGGCCCTCATCCCGTTGTCGCTCTTATTACCAACTAGTACAACCGGATCACGTTCGATTGCCTTACTGGAAATGCACAAACTTGTGCGTGTGTGGCGTTTACCAGCTCTCGCATCCAATCTCGACGATCTCTACGCTAGACATTTCGAGTCTCTCAAACTGACCAAAATGCTTGGATTCACACTGCTTTTAACACATTTCGTGGCTTGTGGTCGTTTTAGCTTTGGTTACAGTCATCCGGCACCGGGTGAAGAACCGAATCACTGGCTGCCTCACGCACCGCATGAAGGACACCACAGTGCACGTAGACAGTATCTAATGTCGCTCTTCTGGGCGTTCGGACTACTCACCGGAGGGTTCGAAGGCGAACTGCCTCATCATAATGCCGAGTTTGCGTTCACAATTGTCGTGGGGTTATGCGGTTTTACGTTGTTTACGTCGTTATGTGCCACTTTTTTCTTGCTTTCCAAGTGTGAAAGTGGCGACGCGGAGCTGGCAGAGGCGCGTGTGCACCAGTTCCAGCACATTTTGGCTTTCCACAGAGTTCCAGTGCAACTACAGGCACAAGCTGTTGACTATCTGCAGCGATATCACACCCAAGCTGAGGCTAATGACCGAGAAGCTGCACGTCGACTGTGTCCCTCGATCTCAGTGGATATCCAAGTGGAACTCCTGGAAGCCACAGTCGCGTTAGTACCGGTTTTTGCAAGCTGTGATACGCAGTTTATTCGAGCTGTGGCTCGACTTCTGGAGTTAATCGCATTGCCGGCGCGGACTCCTCTATTCCGTGCAGGCGATCACGGAGATGCCATGTACATTGTGCACACAGGAGTGCTGCATACGGTCGTGGGAGGTGTGAAAGTGCGAGAATTGCGTAAAGGGAACTTTGTGGGCGAGGTTGCAGTATTTGCTCGACAGCCACGCACGGCTACAGTCATCACAGCTACGTACTGCACGCTGTATCGACTTTCCAGGGTCCATGCTGATAAACTCCTGGAAGGATACCCACAATACGCTCAAGTGATCAACCAGACTGTAGCTGAAATGCTCCAGAAAAGCAGCACCACCGCAGTTGAGCCGATCGGGAATGACTCGGATAATCTCCAAGTCGACAATTCCAGATCTGAGAGGGAACCCAAAACGAGAGGAATGTTGTCGTTTGCGCAGCTCGTTCGGATCAAGCAACTTCTACACACACGCGTTCTTGCTAGAAAAACCAGAAACCAAGTGATTGATGAAGCAGCTAAACAAAAGGTTTGGGCAGCACCACCTTCCCCATCCCAAGAAACCAGAGAGGAGTCAAAACCTGCCGTCGAACATCTCCACTCTCCACCACTAGAAGTTCGAGGAGCTGCCATTGCGCCTGAAACTTCGACGGCCCCGCGACACTCGCTTTCATTACTACAAAGCTTCCACAGTACTAGCTTTCGCAGCGATAGCGCCCTGTCGTCACGGACGCGATCAAAGAACGAATCGCACTCCAAAGTTTTCCCCATGTCTCCTCAAGGCACATCGAGTATTACAGTGTTGCCAACTGAGCAGTCAACAAGACGCAACAGCCGACGGATTTCATTTCTTGCCGGCGGGTTGAACAGACTGACAACACTTCGAGACAATTTCTTTCACGATAACGCAGTAAGACCGTCCGACGCCATCCAGGGTTTTTACGATCGGATTCCCCACCTTGCCGTGTCTTCAAAGCCCCGTTATCACTGGTGGCACCGCTTCCTAATGGAGCGTGGACTGGATGCTGAGTCAAACTGGAGGATGGTGTGGATTGCTTTGGTGACAGCAGTAAACTGCTACAATTGGGTGCTTGTTCCACTGCTGCTTTCCTTCTCAGCTCTCGATGGACTGTGGACACGTTGGTATCTCATCATGCTCAACCTTATCGCTGACTTCGTGCTCTGGATAGACATCTACATTAATTTGCACTTGTCATTCACAGTCAATTCTGAAAAAATCTTAGAACCAACAAGGACCGCCGAGCGCTATGTGTATAGTGGGAAACTGTTTGTTGATCTGTGCTGCGCGTGGCCGTATTGGATATTTATCCCAAGAAAATTCACACACCCAGTGGTACGAGTTCCCAGACTTATCAGTGGGTATCGAATGCGAGGGTTTATTGGTGAAGCTGCAGCGTATTTTCACCTGAGTAGTAAGCATAAGCTATTGCTACTTGGAGTGCTCTTCTTGATGCTGTATCATATCGTTGCGTGCTTGTATTTTAGCACCACATATATCGATGGCTACAGCACGGGCGAAAACCAATGGCTTCCTTCTGAAGATGTGTATCTCCAGCGTTTGAATGCAACGCATTTCCAGACAATTTCAGGAATTATTCTAGCTGCCGACAGTGACCATGTGCAAGCAATTCGAGCAGAGCAGTATTTTCGATCGTTGTACTACGCAGCAAACGTTTTGGCTGCAGTTGGTCGTATGGTTGAACCCAGTAGTGATACAGAATACGGCGCTGCTTTGATCTTCATGCTAAGTGGGTTCTTCATCACTGCTATCGTCGTGGATCATGTGCAAAAAGGCTTCACTGCGTCAGCTCTGGAGGAAAAGGAGTTTTTTGCAGCTCGAGCTCGATTTCAGCGCTTCCTGAAGAGACAGAATGCTCCGTTGTCGATTCATGTTCGAGTGAACTCGTTTCTGGATTTCTGGTGGTCAGCACACCGCGGTGCAATTATCGACGAGTTATTGGAGGATCTGCCCGCCGCCATCAAGCGCGATGTCGTCCACAGTATCTGTACTCCAGCAATGGACTCGTTAGAAATTCTCTGTTCAAGTGCTACCGTCCCAAATAATGCAGAAGCTGATGGAACCACTACTAAAAAAGAATCATCAGCATTACTGGAGCAGATAGATGAGATTTTTCTGGATAACCTGAAGTTTGTCCTCTACGGACAAGGTGAGATTATATACCGTCGTGGAGATTACGCCGCTGGGTTATTCTTTCTGCTGGAAGGTAAAGTGTCGGTAGTTCTCGACGGTGAAGCACCACGACACGTTCCGCTTGGAGGCTTCTTTGGGACGGCTGCACTGCAGTCATCAGCTCGGGACAGACGGGAGACTAGACGACGCTCAAACGTGGATGTGTTTGCGGGTATCGGATACGCTGAGCGAGTGACTGCTGTGAGTGGCTGCATTGTCGTGTATATTTTACGCGAACATCTTCAAGCGATGCAGAATATTTTACCATCTTTGCCTGAGAATTTGCGCAAGTTAGAACAACGTTTCCATGATGCTCGTGTAACGCGGTCAGCGGATTTACGGGCGCTACAACCGCGCGTCCCTCTTGGCGCTATCGGGCTGAATAACCCAACGATGCGTGGTGCGCTACGTCGCAAACAAATGACGGGTCTCGTGCAAGTTCTAGCGAAGAATCTGGACTGGTGGCAGCGAGGAACTGCGATAGACCCCGACTGGCCTTTCGTGGGCATTTGGGAGGCAACAATGTTGATGGCATCGACTGTGCAGGGAACATTGGTGGTGTTTTACATTTGTTTCGGTGCCATTGAGAGTTCCAATGGCCGAGCCTTTGCTGATGCAGTTACGATCACATTGGAACTCCTTTTTGTGCTAGACGTCTACTTACACTTCCGCTTGGGATTTTACGAATATGGCAACAAGGTCATGGATCTAGCGGTTATTCAGAAACGATATCTTCGCTCAATGCACTTCGCAATTGACATGGCAGCTCTCGTACCGCTGTTCATAGTGAACTGGTCGCTACCGTCGCGAAAACTGGAAATACTCAATGTCAATAAAATGTTGCGGTATCTTAAAGGTTCTAGTCAATTTCGCACGCTGGAGACAAAATACGTGAAGCTCACGACGGAACTTCGACTCCTCAAGCTCGTTTACTATTCGTTTCTCGCTTCGCACATGTTTGGATGCATCTGGTTTGATTTCGCTGCTCACAAGTCTGGGGTTCATATCGTTATGAGTGGCTCTACCGATACGTCGACGCCATCTTTCGGAGCTAGTGTTTGGGGGCCCTATAACTCATTAGAGTCGGCAGCGCGTGGTCTGCAGTATCTTGCATCGATTTTCTGGGCTTACGGGTTGATGTCGAACTCGAGTCAAGGTGAACTACCGAAGACTGTAGGGGAATGTCTATTTAGTGTCATCACCATGACAACGGGCTTCTTTCTCTTTGCCTACGTGGTCGGTCACATCTCGGATGTGATTGAGTTGCAAGACTCTGAGAATCGCCACTTTGTTGCCAAACTCAGTTCATTACGACAGCTTCTTCGCCACTTTGACTTACCACCGAGGGTTGAGGAGAAATTCAAGAAGTACTTCTTCTTCAAACGTTTCCATTCTATTACGCAGGAGCATGTGCTGGAGCGGGTGTTACCACCGTCACTAGTTGTCGATATGCGTATGTTCCAGTTGCAACCGATGATTGTGAAGGTGGCATTTCTTGTCGGCATGGAGGATTCGGTCACACGGATGCTCGTTTCGCTCTTCACTCAAGTTTTGTATGTCAAGGACGAATTTATTTGCCATTTTGGCGAGGAGGGAAGTGAAATGTTTTTTATTTACACTGGCGTACTGGACATTTACATTCCGTTCCTGTCGCCATCTACGCACCCCGCATTTTTCCCGACTTCCGCTACAGGTGGGCGTGTGAGCTTGAGTGGTCTGCGCAAAGTGAACGAAATTACAGCTGGGAGCTACTTTGGCGAGGCCGCACTGTTCACCAACACCCCTCGCAATGCGTACGTGAGAGCAAACACGTCGTGCATCCTCTATAAACTCTCTCGACACTCCCTTGAGTTGGTGTTTCTACGCTACCCTGAATGGCAGCAGAAGGTTTTGCGAATTGTTAAAATCCAGCAACAACAACAGCGACTTCAACGTCTTGCCTATGAAGCACAAGCTCCTGATGCAGGAGGTGGAGGTCGACGTCGTGGAGCCAAACGTACAGAGTCCAGTATGGACCTCGTGAATTCTAAAGCAGAGAATATCGAGCAACTTCTTCTTAGTCATCGCAGAGCGGTCAAGGGAGCTGAGAATGCACCTCATCGGATAAAATCCTGGATAATTCGACAGTGGCAAAAGTTTCAAGTTTTAAACCCCGTTGTTCGCTGGATAATCCCACCGCTGCGGACTGTGCAAGGAATTGGTAAGCAACTGGCTCATGGATCTGAAATTCAGAGTCCATTTTATCTCCAATGGATGAGACTAGTATCTATCTGTACGGTGTACGTGGCCGTCATGGTACCGTATCGTCTAACCTACGATTCTCTGGACCGGTGGAACGTCATCCCTATTTGCTTACGTGTGTTTGAAGCTTTGTGTGAAGTGGTTTTCTGGATCGACATTTGGTTTCAATTTCACATGCGTACTAATCAAGCGGCCATGGAACTCTACGAACAAGATCAACTCGTGGGATACAAACGCGAACGTCTTGCTTTTGACCTTGCCGCAACTTTCCCTCTGGATCACTTTGTCACGAGCTTTGTGAGTGGCTCCAACCGCTTGATGCTGTGGAAATGGCTTCGACTCAATCGCTGTCTAAAAGTGGCGAACCTAGTGTACTACCGGAACGAAATCACGAGACGCAGCGTGTCATACGAGATTAATCGTGCACAAACACTGTGGCTGTTGTATCTGTTGGCCATGTTCTGGACATCCTGTGCCTATTTTGCCGTATCAATTTACGATGGCTTCGGCACAGAGTGGCAGAATTGGTTACCATCCTCTAGTCTTATTGCAGAAGACCCATCCTCTGATCTGTTGATGCTAAGACTGTTTCGAGGGCTGGCCTTTGCAGTCACTGCATTTGTCAAGAAAAGCAGAACATTTGTGCCAGCGTCACAGATTAACTTCGCGTTTGCGATCGTAATCTCGTTCATCGGTCAACTCGTTATGGCCCTCATGATTGCCGAAATGGCCAACATTTTTCTGCTCTACATCGATAACGAGGTGCAGTTCCGCAAGAACCACCTCGTAGTCGAACGCTCGCTTGCTCGATGGAAAGTCAGCACGACGTTAAAGCGACGAGCTGACAACTTTCTTACGTCTTGGTGGTCGTCTCACGCGGGCGTCGATTACCAGCTCATTTTTGACGAACTTCCTGCTAGTGTGCGCACCGAAGGGATCCTAGCGATCGTAAAGGAGCCACTCGGTTTATTCGTACATCACGTGTTTAGACCACTCCTTCATGAGGGTGAGGGTGAAATCAACAACAAAGAACAGAAAGCCGAAGAGACTGAAAATCCCAGTCAGCCGAACTGTGGTGCTAAATTTCAGTTAGGGAATCTCACGTACGCAATTGCCAAGTGTCTGCGCTTTGAAGGATACCCACGAGGTGAAAATGTCATCGTGGAAGGAAGCGTCTGCAAGGCCATGTATTTCGTAGTTCGAGGCTATCTGCTGTCGAAGAGTGTGTCGAATTCTGAAATGTATCCGGTTAGTCGCTTTCGAGGTGGGGACTATTTCGGTGAAAATGGTCTTTTGGGACATTCTGTTAGTCTGATGACAGTGACCACCATGCGTGCTTGCGACCTGTTTGTATTGAACTCGGATCACTTACTTCAGGTTCTGCAGTCGCACTCATACTTCAGCTTGGTGCTGGCTACTGCACAACTAGCCGTTAGTCAGAAGAAGACGACTGCTGAATTTGTGGCGGATTGGTTGAGAAGCGATGACGAGGAGGAGGATATGGAGAGTAGCGACAGCAGTGACGATGACAGTGATGGCGATGAGAGTAAGAGTGAGAGTGGGAGCGAACAGGACCAGGTATCTCAAGAAGTTAAGCTGAGGCACAGAAGTCAACAACTCAAACGAGCACTACAAGGAGCATCGCAGGAAACGATGAAACTTTGGGTGGAAACATTTGCATTGTTCATGGAGATGCTGGTACCGAAGGGAAGCATGGAGACTAAAACTCTAATCTCATAAAGATAAAGACCTTTTAGACTGATGTCAACGGAGCCTCATTCGGATTCGGTGCGGCCGAAGAAACCTATCGTATGCCTGTGCTTTGACATCCGCGGGGCGAAGGTGTTGCTTTTGTAACTCTGTTGCCCAAGAGTATGGCCGATCCAGTGCGAGCCGCTACGATGCGAATCATCAAGGCTTACTACTTAAACACCCCATACTTAACCAGCACTGCTTCACAAATAGCAGTTAGTCCGACGAAGACGACGGTCATTGAGACTATGGCTAAAGCGATGACGCTAAGCTGGGTTTTACAAGAAACCAATGTGACTTTAGCAAATGCATCGAACGAATGACTAGGACTTCTAAGGACTTCGCCGTGCGTTAGTTTTTCAATAAATAACGTTGCCAAGTAATTTGGCGTTTGAGCAGAATTCTGAGACTTCAAAGTATCTAGTTGTCGAGCTCCATCATACTCTCGAGACGCAAGAGGATCTTCGTGAGGTTGTTCATTTTTGCCTCAAGCCGCTGTTCTGTTTCAATAAGTCGTTCCTGGAAACTCTCCTGCATATCGAGCAGCCGAAGCAGTAGCTCATTATCTGGCATAATAAGGTGAGCAGTGCTGCTAGCTGCAGACAGACTTTGCTGGCCATTCAGAGTATCAGCACTTGGTCCATTTCGTGAAGACGAGTCAGTAATTGTGACTGGGTCGTTAGACCTTAAGTCTGGAGCCACTGAGCTGACTGTAGTGACGGGTGGACCCTGTAGGGTCGAAATGCTCAGTCGACGATGGTCCATACTGTTGGTTCGAATAACTTTACTTTGCAGTAGCAACTCTGTAGATGTCGCTGACCCCCGACGATTTATGCTGATAGAGGGCGAGCTATGCAGACCCACAGTAGGCACAACCAATTGATTCATGAAGGCTCGGTTCTGTAAAACCTCAAGATCATTACGGAATTTGGCCAGCTCGTCATCTTCAAGCATGCCACTGTTATCTGTGTCGTAAACGTTAATGACGTCGTCGATATCGAGATGAATTCCTTCCGTCACAGCATGAAATCTCTCCAGAATAGCTCCAATCTCGTTACGGCAGAGCATGCGTTTTCCTTTGAGAAAATCCACGTTGCTCTTCATCGTTTCATGCATGACCGATTTCATGACTTTCTGGAAATTAGTACCAATGACTGTGATTGGCAGTGCCAGTACCAGCATACCTGTGAGCACAGTGCAACATCCGATGACCTTGCCAAACCAAGTAACTGGAGTCATATCCCCGTAGCCTACAGTGGACATTGTCACGATGCACCACCAGAAGGATGTTGCAATGCCTTGGTACGGGTTCGGATCGACACACACGCAAGCATCGCTTGACGAAACTGACGCTACTGCTGCAGCCGCCGATATTGAGTAGGCAACTTCTGCAGTGTTAACATCTCCAGAGGAATCGACTGTACAGTTTCCCATCCATCCGTCTGCACGGCAACCATCGTCGGTATATTCAGCGAAGTAAATGGCCGATGAGAATATAATCATGGCAATCGACATGAGAAAGATCAGCATTGTCAGTGGTTTAATACTGATGGAGATAGCTTGAGTGAAGACCTGAATCGCTGAAGAATACCGTGACATTTTCAAAACGCGCGCCACTCGTGTGAGTCGCACTATTCGAATGGCACCGAAAGACCCGGCATTGTCTACAGCCAAAACTGACTCCATGTAAAATGGAAATACTGCCGCAAAGTCTACCCAATTCGAGAAGTCTAGCAAAACATGAACACGTGGCGGTTAGAAATGCAGAGCGCAGGTGTATGCATTAAGCTAATTACCTTGGAGGAAGGCCAATTTACTGGGGCACACGAGAAAGCGTCCAACCAATTCAAACGAGAAGACACCTGCACAAACCGCCTCTAATGTAGTAAGTACCGTCATGTACGGGTCGAAAATTTCCTCCGTTTCAGCGACGAAGACGAATGTGGAGATAATAATGAATCCATATAAGCCAAGAGAGAAATAATATGCCGCTGTGGACGACTGTGGATCTTCGAAAAAGTCCCAGAGTTTGTGCATGCAACCAACAGGCTCGTCAGGGTTTACTGGTTGCAACTCGGAGGCAACTTTTGAGCTGTGTCGCGAAGATGCCACCTTGGCCGGAGTGGGAACTGGAACTGGTAAATGGGAGTTGCTACCGCTCGCAGACGTCACAGCTGTGTCTTCCTCTGGTGTCGGTGCCACAGACAATGAAGATCGTCGACTGCGTTGACTCCTCTGTACTTTGTCAGCTTTTTGGCGTGAGAACGACGGGAAGTGGGGGTGGACATGGAATATTCCTGAGTTATGGACTGTTGTCCGTCGTTTGGCTTCCCGCTCGATCACCTTCGAGAGCTTCAGAGCCGTATCTGATAGTTCCATGGGTCCTCCAATATTTTGATCCGAGCAAATGCAGGTAGGTGGCCACGCGACGACAGCAAAACGCGATAAAAAGAAGCAAACGAAAGCAGATTCGCACCAAGCCCGGTGCAAACCACACGCAGCAATCGCTTTTCTATCACTAGAAAAACACTGCAAGCAGTTAGATCCCTAAAAATATGCGGATGGTTTCGGAGTCTGGCACAGTTGCGGCGCAGCACCAGTTATAGTCGTATGCATCTAGCTGTGAGACCGATGCCTGTCAGAATGTGGATGTCGGTAAACAAGCCGTTTATTCATGAAGACAGCGATATCCGCGATGAAATTCAGCTGGAAGTAGATGTCTCCTCTGCTTTCACTACTTCTTCAGCAACTGCTGGCCCCGTCGTGTTATTGGCCTGAGCAGCGACTTCAGCACACGCAGCCTTAGCCAATTCACGTCTTCCAGCACGATCCGTGCGCAAGGCTTCCTCTTCTTTCTCCTTCTTCCATTCCAGGTAGGGCTTTGCAACGTAGTCAAACGGTAGTACCTCCATAGTACGCAGCCATTTTGCGTATGTGCGGGTGCGTTCTTCGTGCTTCATGATGTGGTCAAAGATGAAGTCGCGTTTGAATTGCTCGACAGCGGCAGCAACCGAGGGTTCCTTCAGGTCAAGCGGCGGGTGCGACGTCTGGATTGAGTCCGCCATCTTCATGTTGTACACTTCGAAGTGGGCTTGCGCTAGGTACAGCCCGACACTAGGCGCCTTGGGCAAGTCCATCTTTGTCAGCTCCATGGCGCGTTCAATCGTCGAGTGGTCCGTAACACCCGATACGATCTCCACAGCAGTACCGATCATCTTGCGGATGTGATGCAGCAAGAAACTCTGTCCAACCACACGCAGTCGTACCCACTCCATGTCGTTCTGCACAAACGGGCGCTCAGCCTCGAATGAAATGATGAAGCGGTTTGCTTGAGGGTTGGTGGGCTCCATCTTGGACGTGAAGTTGTGGAAGTTGTGTGTACCAACGTACTGTTTCAGTGTGGCATTAAGCTGTTCCAGCGTCTCGTCGCTCAGTCGGAAAGCCTTGTGTGCCTCCAGTGTCGTGCTGTCAATCATCACGTTGTCATTGAAACCTTCTTCAGAGTCGCGCAGGTCCGACGGCCACTGGGACGCACCTTCAGCCTGTTTTTCCTCGTTCTTTGAAGCGGACGAACGCGTACGTTTGCCGAAGATGAACGTCGGTGCCAGGTACTCGTAGGTGCGCTGGTCACACGACATTTTGGCGTTGAAGTTCTTGGTGACAGTGACCATGTGCATGACGCGGATGTCCTCGGGAAGCGCAGCGTTCACCTTGGCCATGAAGCCGGCGATATCGTCGCCCACGTGAAGCTTGGCTGTTAATAGTTGGCCAGCGGCATGCACACCCTTGTCGGTGCGAGCAGCGCGGCTCCAGCCGATTTTCTGCAAGAAGCCGTAGTTGCTCTCGGCGATACCGCCGGCCTCGAACAGCGCGCGCTCCAGCTCCGCTTCGATGGTCTTGACGCCTTCGTTCATCTGCATCCCACTGTAGTTCTTGCCGCAGAAGGCCACCCAGAGTCCATAGCGGCGTTTGGTCGGCAAGGATTGTACATCTGCCGCTGGGGTCTCGGAGGGCTGACGCTGAGCCGCGTAAGAGCCTGGGTGGACAGCATCTGAGCGGTCAGCGCGACGATCCGGCTGCGGCTCCTTGTCCTGCTGTTGCTCGTCGCTACCCTCGCGTCGGGTCTGCTTATTCTTGCGGCGTACCGCCCAATGGGTCTTCTTACGCTTGCCAGTCATTATTGCACCAAATTGACTGTTGGTTTGGCTTGTTCCTAGGGTTTTCAAATAGGGTTTATCCCAAACCCTATTTGAAAAGTGATGAGTGAAAGACCATACGGTTGATGTTTGCCACACTATTCAAGGTCGAAGGTCGGACGGGAGCAGCTCATTATCCACCGCTCAAAGTAGACGAGATGGTGTCGCTGCGAAGCTTCCAGGCGCTGCGTCGCGCGGCGCATCTGGCTGCCAAGTCCTCTGGTGGTCGTCTGGCGCCTCTCCAGTCGCTGGCACCGCAGACTCGCCCCTTCTCGCAGGCGCATACACCGTCGCAGGCCGTGGACCCCAAGGACATCCTGAAGCCGGAACTACCCAAGGTCACCAAGCCGCAGCTGTCGCTGGAGCAAGAGCTGCCGGGCCTACCCCAGCTTAAGCCTGCTAGCCAGCTCAAGCCTCCGCAGACGGAGATTTCGGTGCTGCCCTCGGGTCTGCGCGTCATTTCGCAGGAGACTTATGGTCAGGCTGCCACGCTCGGCATCTTCATTGACGCCGGCAGCCGCTTTGAGGACGACGACAGCATCGGTGTGAGCCACCTTCTGGAACACCTTGGCTTTAAGAGCACCACGTCACGCTCGCATGCGCAGTTGGTGCACGAGATCGAAGACATTGGCGCACTCACAACGTCCTCGTGCGGACGCGAACAGATCATCTACACCATCGACTTACTGCGCGACAACGTGGAGAAGGGTCTAGAGCTGTTAGCCGACGCCATCCTCAATGTGGATTTAGTGCCTGAGGAGATGGAGGGCATCAAGGCTATCATGCGCATCCAGACGGAGGACCTGATGGAGAACCCACCTGCCATGCTGCAGGAATTCATCCATGCCGCTGCATATGGCGCAGATACGCCACTCGGACGACCGCTGCAGTGCCCACTGGACAAGATTGACGCGCTGACCGTGGAGAAGGTCAAGAAGTTCCGTGACCAGCACTTTGTTGCTCAGAAGATGGTCCTTGCTGGCTCCGGTGTGGACCACGTTCGCCTGGTCAAGTGCGCGGAGAAACTCTTTGCGAACGTGCCTGTGGCTTCGGCTGATTCGCCCATGGCAACTCCCTCGAGTCCCGAGACACTCGAGCCGGTGATCTACACAGGAGGACTGTACCCACTCCCAAACCCGGAGTCGGAGTTTTCCTACGCGGCGCTGGCATTCCCTACGGGTGGCTGGCACGACGAAGACCTAGTGCCGATCTGTGTGCTGCACACGCTGCTTGGCGGTGGTGACAGTTTCTCTGCTGGTGGCCCTGGCAAGGGTATGTACTCTCGGTTGTACACGAGCGTTCTGAACCGCTTCTACTGGGTTGAGTCAGCCTTCGCGTTCTCGTCCATCCACGCTGACGTGGGTCTCCTTGGCATCTACGGCGCTTGCATTCCGTCGCACACCAGCAACCTCGTGGCGCTGTTGTGCAACCAGATGCTCAGTGTTGCCAACCGACCTGTCGATGCTATTGAGCTTGCTCGTGCGAAGAACCAGCTTAAGTCGTCTGTGCTTATGAACCTCGAGTCGCGTATGATCCTGTACGAAGACATTGGCCGCCAGCTACTAACCTATGGAGAGCGCGAAACACCCGAATCTGTGTGTGCGAAGATCGACCAGGTTACAGCCGCAGATATCCAGCGAGTTGTGAAGGAGGCCATGCAGAATCCTCCTAGTCTCGTCTATTCGGGAGACATCCCCCAATTCCCGCAGTACCAGCAGGTTGTTGCCGGTATCAAGGAAGGACTAAGCGAGTAAGTGTACTAAGTCTGTCAGGTTGAGTGGCGAGATCTACGTGATTACAAATAGGACGAGATAACGCTGCGCAATCTAGACAAGGGGGAAACAATAGAAAAGGCTTAAAACGATTTCTTGAATATGATGGTCAGTTGTGAGCACAGCCAATAGAATATCTAGCGGCGCTTAAGTGTAGCCTCCGCTAGCAGTAAACGAAAGCCTCGAAGATACTGCTGGCACTGCCCGGCGGTGTCTGCCTGCAAATCCAGAGTGCGGCAAGGGTGCACGAACACGAGCGAGAAGCAGCGAGCAGGTGCGTCAGGTTGCTGACGAGCAAAGTTCTCAGTTGTAGCACCTGGTAACACCTCCACCAGGTCGCAAGTGTCAACTTTGGAGTCAGGTTTTGGCTGCACCAGCGAGCCCTGGGTAGTGGACGTCGCGGGTGAGCGCCAGGACAACCAATGGCACTGAGCATCAGCATAAACGACTCGCTGGTGGGGCACACCGCGCGACCCGAACTTGGTGACAACAATGCCGTTCTCAAGTTGTTTCTTGAAGTGCACAAGGAACTCCTGCTCTCTTGCTTGAGCTGTAACGCGCTTCCGACTGGCGCTTTCCAGCTCGTCAACGGCCATCTGAAGCCGATTCTTCTCTGTGCGTTCGTCCTCGCAGCGCTGCTCAAGGTCGCTTATCTGGCGCTTCAGTGCAGTCTGTGCTTCCTGTTCCACTTTTTTGCGGGCCACCTCGAGCTCGGCACTAAATTCACCTCGCATGCTACGCTCACGGCTCTGCGCTCCTCGAAGTTCCTCGTGTAGCGACGCTAGAAGCTGTTTGCTCGTAGTGTTTACCAGTTCCAACGCACGAACCTGTTCCTGCAACTGCTGCAGTTGTTGGTCATGGCACGACAATTCTACCAGCAGTTCATCACGGTGGAAGTTCAAGTCGGTGCTAGTATCCTTCACTCGTTCCTGTAGCAACCGAGACGATGCCAATATTTGACTGACATCCGCTTGAGGGAACACTGTTGAATTCTGCTGAGTTAGTTGAGCAACTGCAGTGAGGGGATGACTTTCCACTGCTGATGGGGACGTTGCAGCGCGAGAGTTGGCATTCTCAAGCGCAGCTTTTAGCTCTCGCACCTGCTGGGTCTTTGCTGCATGGGAAGTCCGAAGCGCTGCAAGGACAACCTCAACTGCACGATGAGCTCGCTGCGCGTCTACCAAGCGGTCGTGCAGTTCGTCCACGTGGTTCTGAGTGTCTCGGTGCTCCTCTTGCAACTCCTGCCACTGCAGTGCTAATATTTCTTTTTCATGACGAAGCTGATTCACTTGCTCTCGTCTTTCTTCAGACACAGTCGTTTGCTCTGCAAGTTGCGCTTGTAGATCTGCCAACGCTTGCTCTAGTTCTTCTTGGTGGCGTTGCAGTTTTCGTTGCTCCGTTTTCACCGAGTCCAGCTCGGCTTGCGTGGTCGTTGACGCCCGCTTGTGTCTTAGAAGGAGCTTGTTGACTGCTACCATGTCATCACGCTCGCGTTGCACTTTTCGGGTTTCCTGTAGCAATGTTTCGAGTTGACGAGCTGCCACTTCCTGTTCCTTTTTCACCGCTTCTTCACGTTCTTGCTGCAACGCTGCCACTTGCTCTCTCATGGTGCTTAGCTGGTGACTCACCTCAAAATACTCCGTTTTCAGGTTGTTCACCAATGCGTCCGAGCTGTCAGCATCAAAACCGGTAGTCTCAGGAAGCTGGAGGCAATCACTTTTGCTTTCAAAGCCGCCTTGACTCTCGCGACGAGATTTAGACTTCCCCGGTCCCATCGACAAACTGCTTCTGCGTCGACTTTGTCGCGTCGGAACGAGACTTCCGAGACTCCTGGATCGCTCCACAAGACTTGTGTCCACTTGTCCAGAGCTAATATCGGCCAGTGTAAGAGTCAGCGCTGGCTTTGCATCGCGCATCCTAGCAGCAAACAGCACCAACGACAGGATTCAATATTACCGGAACTTAATTTGAACAAACAGCATCATACTCACATTTGGAGAACATCAGCGTAAGGTACGTTGGCAACGTCAACCCCGTTTACCATCCGCACCCGCAGCTTGTCGACAATGATGCGAGAATAATCCCCGGCCGATCTGCAGCGCGCATTGTAGTCTGCTGCAAGGCCCGTGGGCGCTACGTCTCGAACGACGCAAGAGTAGCTTTCGGCAGGAACGAGACTAAACTTGTTGCTCTTTGATGCAGGTTGAAACCCAAGACCCACAGGCTTGCTGTCGTCAAAGAAGACGCTGAACTCCTTCTCCCATCGACAGGCACCTTCACTATGCTTCGCTCGAAAAGCTGCTACCAACAGATCATTCCACGCTCGTTCAGCACCAGATCGCTGTCCTTCAGTCACATGTGTGTGGTCCTCATCCAAGCCGTTGCTCGATAGAACTGCTGTAGATTCCTCGCTCCACGGTGAACTGCAGAACTTAAGCACCATGTTAAGTGTTGGTGTCTCCCCTTCGCGGTAGCGGTTGCCAACGGATTGTGAGCGTTGTTAGATATAGTTTATGAGTGCACCACCAGGCTGATGCAGGACATTGTCACACTAAAATAGCACCACAGGGGCTGAAGCTATTGAGTATCAACGATCGCCAGAAAAAAAATAACATACATATTCAAGTTAGTGAGCAACAGCTAAAACGACGAGAAAAAAGTTTCCGCTTTGCGCCTTCGTTTGTACATCGTGCTTCAGTCACACTTTCTTCCAGGTGATGCCGCTGTAGCTATTGCGAAGAAGGGCAACCAGGGACGCGGCACATCGAACCGGCCGAACATGTAGGAGCATGAGCCCGCACAATTGCTCCCCACAGCTTACACGCTCCGCATCTGTTCGCATCGTGGGCCCCTTTTCCAGCCATGTTCGAGCGGTGAGCTTTCACTTTATCCACAAACGCGCGTGTTGAAACACACAGGGGGTTGGAACACCCTCTGGCTTCACATGCCGATAGATGCTGCAGTCCACGAAGAATCGACTGCATTTGAGTTGCACCGGGAGTCGTTGCCACTGCCGACTTGGCAGAAGGCATCTTCTTGGCATCGGAGACTTCGCCTACTGACGTGGGGCTCAGTGGTTCACGCCGTAGACGCTTCGCCGGTGGCGGAGCTGGGAGCTGGAATCTGAGAGACGGCAGTGTTGCAGTCGTTCTGGTAGAATCCCGTGCTGTTGAGACGGTGGGGGAAGCACCACCTAATGACGACGACGGCGGAAGTCGTGTGAATGACATACGAGGCTCTGCAAATGCAACGCGAGGAGGCGTCCCATCGGACTGTGACGGGAGCGACTCGCCACTGCGGCTGCGCTTACGTGAGAGTCCATTAGCGACGATCTGCGTGCGCGAGATAGAGTACGATGGCGGATGCGGCAACGATGAAAACGGGAGGGCAGCCACTGAGCCAAAGGCGTCTCGATCAGTCCCGCCGTTCGTAGGAAGGCTCTGTGCAGTCAAAAGAAAAGAGTGAGAACGCCTCCTCTTACAATGTATTTGTTGAGACGTTAGCACGAACCATTTCAGCTCCATCGGCCACGAGTAGAAGGCCCGCCAGTTTCACGACGCGTCTGGACACGGAGAAGAAACTCGCAACACCAGAGAAACGAGGAAGAAGACAGCGCGTCGGCAATTGGACTGCGAGAAGTTCTGTTCTGAGACTTGTGCAACATGCCACCATCACTCACTTAGGGGTAGGTTCGTTTATTCGAATTCACAGGCAAAATATAGGGTTTTACAGGCATCACGTTCCTCGCACACTCCTTGTGGCTCTGAAAATTATAGCAAATGTGGCTTAATCTCTAAAAATGGCGGGTTTCACCATCTTGAAAGTGGGTCGAGGATCGGAAACTCAAATTAGCCACATGGCTAGATTCTCTTCCTTGCGGTTGTTGAACAGGATGTACGTGTATAATTTCAAACTCGAGCTGCTTAGCGTTTAGACAGACCAACGCACTTCCTAATCCTTCGTCAAAGTCATCACGTTCGCGTTTTACTCTGTTTTGGCATTGGAGAGCGCCGGTATGGCAATTTGGCAAATTCTTGTTTAAAATTGGAAGTTTCGCCTGGTTATGACATACAGCCACTGCTGTAATCAATCTTGATAGGATGCCAATTCGCAACTAACCGGAGGGCGGACTGTTGGTGCCGCTTGTTGATCATGACGGTGCCCTCCTTCTACGATGTCTTGGGTGTGGCAGCATGCTGCAGCGCTGAAGACATCCGGCGAGCGTACCATCAAGCGGCACGCAAATACCACCCCGATAAGCGCTTGAATGATGTGAATGCGAGCAATACCAACGAGCAACAGTTCTTACGCGTGCAGGAGGCCTATGAGACGCTGGGCAACGAGGAACTGAGGCGGGAGTACGACGCCAAGCTGCAGCAGGACGAGTTGGTGCTCAAGAGAGAGCAGGAGGTGGTTGTCGTGTCTGACGTGGTCCTGGTGGACGATATGCAGCGGGAAGTCTTGCCAGGTGAAGACGGCGGCGAGGACGAAGTAATCTACACACACCAGTGCCGCTGCGGAGACCTATACGAGATCACGGAGGGCGAGCTGCAGGATGGAGTGGATGTCGTGCCGTGCACCGGATGCTCGCTTCATATTCGCGTATGCAAGTAACAGGCCTTGACCTCACTGCCATGTACGTCTTAACTACAGCGGGCGTCACCAACAAATTCAGGAATAGAAACTTTCATTTTGCATGCATCTTCCTCTCTTAATGCGGACACGAGCTGATAGCCGACGACTTAGAACTCCTTAGAACTCCTTGCCGCGTGGTGCTCCGTGTGACGGGTATCTCTGCGGCGTCTGGAGCTGATGGAGCACGCTCAAACCGATATACGCCAAAAAGATGAACAGGAGGCCAAACAGGAGACCCGCCATGATGTCTGGGGTGATGTTCACATAATGCGAGAAGCAGAAAGCTTTGCCCGCCGCGTTGTATCCGACGAGGTAGCCCGCTTCACACAGCAACGCGGCATCTGTGGTGGCGTTTGCCTTTTTGGCCTTGGCTTGAACAGTAAGGCGGCGTGCGAGAGGGCTCTGAATCTCCACAGAGTTAGCGTCGTTGCCAGTAAAGGCAAAGTCCGTCTTACCACCCGTAGCAGCGTTGAGGCTGCTGGAGGCTGTCTCGATGACGGTGTCCACATCGGGCAGCGACATCGACTCGGGCAGTTGAATGACGAGCAAGTCTGTCTTGCCGTTGGCAATCATAGCTTGTCCCTCTGCGGACGTGATAAACACATCCAAGTCGTGGGCGCCCACAATATGGGGCTTGGCGCTCGTCATTTCGGGAAGAAGTGGCTTCAACCGGGTAGTGTGTGGAATGACCACGGACGACACAGAGTTTTGAACGGCACGTTGCACGTAGGAGCCTGCCCCACTAGAAAGTTGAGAAACGTCCTCCGAGGCCAACGATGGCAAAAGGAACAAGCACATAATCTCTGCCTGTTGGGATGCAGATGCTTGGGTGCTCAGCACGCCCTGAAGTAATCACAAAGAGCTCGTTATCCCAACGTGACCGTAAAAGCGTAAAGCCACCCGAGGGACCGTACCTCTTTGTCAGCGCTGGCATCGCGGTTCAGCACGCGCCCTATGGCGGATGCCACAGTAGCTTCATCCATCTCGGAGCTCAAGTAGGCGTTGGATCCAGCGAAAATTCTGCAACACACAAGACCCCAGTAAGATTTACACAGTTCTAATTCAAAAGCTAAGTTGGGTCAAAACGCACGGGCGCTGCGACCACATAACCAGCGGCACATGGGGGAACAGGGTGGAGACCGACGCAGCCGACGTCGCAGCCGTCAGTCCGCACAGCGCAGCGGCCAGTAGCGTCTTCATCATCGTCGTCTGAAGTCGTTTCTTCTTCGCCGCTTTAGATCGCTCACTGTCCGTTTCTGTTTTTTCGTTCCAGTTTCTAATGTCGCTTGAAGGTTGCGCGAGAGTCGCGCGACATCCGCAACCGATTCGTGGTTCACTTGTAGAAGAATCTCGCAGGTACGAAGACCCTCCCCAGGCTTGATGAACGCCCTCGTTCGTTCTGCTAAATGCCGTCCCCCCCGTTGCTCTTTGTGCAGTCTATCGCCCCCTTTTACTACAAAGAGATCCAACAAGATGTCGTCTATTCTCGCTTCGCTGGACATGAGTCTGGACGACCTGATCGCTCAAAAGAAGTCGAAGGCCTCCAACCCGGCCTCTCGCCCGGCCAAGGCCAACAAAGACAAGGATGCGGCCGGTCCCATCCGGAGCGGACGCCGACGCAACCGCAACCGTAACCAGCCATACTCGCGATCCGTAAGTGCGCCCACGACCTGAAGGCCGACCCCTACTCGATCTATTTTCCCCTCTTGTCCATCCTACACAACGGAAGGCACTCCCTTGCCCCCTTACGTCTGCGAAGGATAGACGAACAGTGAATTTTATCACTAAAGGGGAGCATGGCGCCTGCCTGTCTGGTAGCTGGGAGGACGAACTTTTCGTTGGTGCAGAATTTCACACGTACATTGACTGCTGCTTCTCCCTTGGTATCCCAAAGCGCGGCGGTAACGATGACGACATGGACGTCGACCTAGATGACACCCCGGACAGCGGCAACAACCGAGGCGGCAAGAAGCGCTCGGTGGTCGTCAAGAAGCCCGGAAAGGGTGGCAAGAAGGGTGCGATTTTCATACCCTTGTATCTCTCGCTGTGAACCTTGGGCCGAGGCAGTACTGACGCCATGGTTAATGATTATCCTGACCTATAGGCGGATCGTCGATCTTGTCGCGTCTCGGTGGCAAGGACGCGGCTAGTCCTGGCACCAAGATTCTGGTGAAAAACCTCAAGTTCGATATCTTAGAGGAGGAGGTTCGCGAGCTCTTCGGCACGGTTGGTGAGGTGTCGAAGGCTGAGATCGTGTACGACCGCTCTGGTCGCTCGAAGGGAATCGCTCGTGTGTGGTTCGCCCGCCGCTCCGACGCAGACAAGGCCATCAAACAATACGATGGTAAACCTCAGCTTCGAAAGCTACTGTTTGTCTTAACTTTAATAACCTTGCGATCTGTATGTCAATGTAGGACGTACGCTGGACGGTCAGCCGATGCAGATTGCGCTGGACTCTGACAAGAACGTTCGTAACGGACTCTTCGGCACTGCTCTTGAGCGCGACGACAAGGATGTCAAGTTTAAGGTGTCGTTCGGGTAAGTAGAATGACTGGACTTAGTCCACACTTTGAAAAGGTGATGGACTCTAAGGAATGTGTATGTGCCGTCAACAGAGGAGGCAACGACAACGAGCAGTCAAAGGGCCGCCGTAACAGACGCCGTGGACGCGGCAATGACAGAGGCAGTCAGGGGTACGTCGCAACGTTTGTGGCTGTTGTTGGGACAGGTCTCTAAAGTTGTGTGTGCTGTGCTATAGTGGTCGTGGCAAGGAATCTGCTCCATCCAAGACTGCCGAGGAACTGGATAATGAGATGGACACGTACATGAAGGACGCTTAGAGATGAAGACACGGTGCATCCTGCAGACTAAATGCTTGATGCTCGTCTCCTCTGGGCTCACGAAAGTTCTACCCTGGTGACTATGCATAGTTGTTTTGCATTTTAACGGGTGCGCGTGGCGAGTTGGTGTTTGTATTCGCTATCTTTCGACCGTGCGAGTGAAATACCGCAGCGGATGAACGACTTCTTCGCGACACGTGCCCCCAATTGAATAAAGCATCTCCATGAGCCTGAAAAATGGATCCCCGGCCAAGATATGAACGCTTAATCGCCACGAAGAGAGCAGCGAGCCAGGGTAGTGCTCCGTTTTGTTGGTTGGGACAATTGCGGTGATGTCAAGACTGTTGCTTTGTAGCGACGACGGTAGGAATATCCGATGTTGAAACTTGTGTGCCAGTAGCGAATGCCGTTTGCATTATAATAGAACACAGCACAGATGATCCAATGATGTTTGCTCTTGAATGTGTAGCTCTGCGCTGGTGTGGTTGGCTCGACCAAGAGTGGATCCGTAGTATCGAGGTAGAAATAGTCCGCCACAAGTACTGACTGCAAGCGGGGACATGCTGGGGATTGAGGCGGAGGACGAGCTGCACGGCTGGTTAGTCGAGGGCATCTTCGCGCTGGGTATTGTGACCTATGTGGCTACGACGATCATCACAGCCCCCTACGGTCGCCACGCCCGCCCTGGGTGGGGGCCAACGGTGAACACACGACTTGGTTGGGTGATCATGGAGAGCCCGTCGGCCATTTGGTTTGCAGTCGTATACTTGTGGGGGAACCACCGGTTAGCCTTGACTCCTCTCATCGCGGCAAGCCTGTGGGAATGCCACTACCTGTACCGGTCCTACGTTTACCCATTTCTGATCCGCACACACAAGGACAAGCGGATGCCGCTGACCGTCATGCTCTCCGGGGATTTCTACAATATTATCAACGCTTACATCAACGCTCGGTACCTCAGTGAGTTCGGCGACTACAGCGGGGACGACCCATTTTCCCGCCCGTCGTTCTACGCTGGGGTCGCGCTCTTCGTGTTTGGTCTGTCGATGAACATCTACTCGGATCAAATACTGATCAACCTTCGCAAGCCTGGAGAGAGTGAATACAAGATTCCTTATGGGGGCCTGTTCGAGTACGTGTCGTCACCCAACTACTTCAGTGAGCTACTGGAGTGGACGGGCTGGACGCTACTATCGCAATCGCCTGCGGGTCTGTCGTTCGCGGTATACACCGCCACGAACCTCGTTCCTCGCGCTCTCAGCAACCACCGTTGGTATCAAGACAAGTTCCGTGGCGAGTACCCGACCAACCGTAAAGCCATTCTGCCATTCTTGTGGTGAGTAGGCTGAACGCGTTAACGTACCATCAGCAATTGTTGATAGTGATCTGCAGAGTACATTTTCTTTTAAAAAGAAGAAGATCAAAAATCAATTTGATGCGCTTAGATCAAAATCAAATTGATAAGTAAGCTTGAAGCTGAAAAAGAGGCAATTTACACCCTATTCTGGCACTTTTTAGAAATGAGTGACAAAATAGGGTCCTGGTAAAAATCGTGTGAGCCATTGATTGCCGAGCACAGAACCAGAAATCCTTCACTTGAGACGAATCGAGCCGAGATGGCGCCGAAAAAGGGGAAAAAGAACGCCAAGAAAAACGCGAGCTCTGCTGCTGCGTCGGACGACCTGGATGATCTGCTGAACGAGTTTGCCCCCACGGAGGCCGCCAAGCCGCAGCAGGAGCAGTCCAAGCAGGAGGATAAGAAGGACGACCAGACGCAGGAAAAGGAGTCGGACGTGGATGCCGCTGCCGCCGCGTATCTGGCGTCTCTGGGTGTGGCCCCTGCTGCTGGAGGTGAGAAGAAGGACGATAAGAAGAAGAAGAAAAAGGGCAAGAAGAAACCCAATGCGGACGCTAAGAAGGACGACGACAAGAAACCCATGTCGGCTGCGGCCAAGGCTCTGATGGAGCGTCAGGCGGCCATGAAGGCCGAGCAGGAGCGCATCGAGCAGGAGCGTCTGGAGCAGGAGCGCATCGCCCAGGAGGAAGAGGCCAAGCGTCTGGCCGAGCTCGAGCGCGAGGAGGAGATCCGTCGCAAGAAAAAAGAGGCGCGCGCCGCTAAGATCGAGCGTCAGAAGAAGGAGGGAACGTACATGACCAAGGCACAGAAGCAGAAGGCTGCCAAGGCTCAGGCCGCGCTTGAGGCGATGCAGCAGGCGGGCCTCGTTCCTGAGGCTGCCGGCGAGAAGAAGAAGGTTGTGTACTCGGACAACAAGAAGAAAAATAAGAACAACAACAAGAAGGTGGAGCCCAAAAAGGAGGAACCCAAGCCTGTGGTGAAGGAGGAAGAGGAAGAAGTGGACGACTGGGAGGCTGCCGAAGACGCCGCTCAGGCGCAGCAGGAGGAGGAGGCGGAGGCTCCCGATGCGTGGGATGACGAGGACTGGGAGACCAGTGACGTTGTGGCCTCGCTGGAGGATAAGCTGCAGGAAGTCAAGGAAGAGGCCGCCGCCGCCGACAGCGACAGCGACGGAGACGAGGATCTGCTTGTGCTAGAACAGAAGAAGGAGCAGGAGCGTCTGCGTCAACAGGGCATCGCTCTGATGAAACGCCAGGAGGAACAGGCTGAGCAGATGCGTCAGGAGGCCGAAGAGGAGCGTCAGCGCTCCAAGGCCAAGCTCGAGGCTGAACGCAAGAAGAAGGAGGCGGCCGAGCGTCGTCGTGAGCGTGAGGCCGCTGCGCGTGCCAACGTGTCCCTGGACAACCTGCGTTCGCCTATTTGCTGTATTATGGGCCACGTCGATACTGGTAAGACGAAGCTTCTTGATAACATCCGCCGGACCAAGGTGCAGGACGCCGAAGCTGGTGGTATCACGCAGCAGATTGGTGCGACCTTCTTCCCTGTGGAGGCTATTAAGCAGAAGACGGCACGCCTTGCCGAGACCATGAAGCTCGAGTACCGCCTGCCCGGTCTGCTTGTGATCGATACGCCCGGTCACGAGTCGTTCACGAACCTGCGTACTCGTGGCTCTTCGCTCTGTGATATCGCCATTCTGGTGGTGGATATCATGCACGGTCTTGAGCCGCAGACTCTGGAATCTCTGCGTCTACTGCGTCAGAAGAAGGCCCCGTTTGTGGTGGCGCTGAACAAGATCGATCGTTGCTACGGCTGGAAAACTATGCCCGACATGCCCGTCCAGGAGGCGCTCAAGCATCAGAACGAGCACGTCATTCGCGAGTTTGAAGATCGCATGAAGTCGATCATTGTGGAGTTTGCAGAGCAGAAGCTGAACGCCGAGGTGTATTGGCGCAACAAGGACTTGGCGCACACGGTCTCGCTCATCCCGACTAGTGCTATCTCGGGTGAAGGTGTGCCGGATCTGCTGATGATGCTGACGCGATTGACACAGGAGCGCATGGCCAAGTCGCTGGCATTCGTCGACATCCTACAGTGTACCGTGCTCGAAGTGAAGGTCATTGAGGGTCTTGGTACAACGATTGATACGATTCTGGTTAATGGTACACTAGAGGAAGGCGCAACAATTGTAGTGTGTACATTGGACGGACCTGTTGTGACAACGATCCGTTCCTTGCTGACCCCTCACCCCATGAAGGAAATTCGAGTCAAGGGCGAGTACCTTCACCACCAGAAGATGAAGGCTGCTATGGGTGTGAAGATTTGCGCCCAGGGCCTCGAGAAGGCAGTTGCTGGTACTCAGATTCATGTGGTTGGCCCCGATGATGACGTTGATGAGCTGAAGGACTCCGTCATGTCCGATCTGACTGGAATTCTGGACTCCGTGAAGGCTACCCGCCGCGGTGTCATGGTTCAGGCTTCCACCCTTGGTGCCCTGGAGGCACTACTGGAGTTCCTGCGCACGTGTGACCCGCCCATTCCTGTGTCCTGTGTGAACATCGGTCCTGTCCACAAGAAAGACGTCATGCGTGCTTCGGTGCAGTTGGAGCACCAGCCTGAGTTTGCCACCATCTTGGCGTTCGATGTGAAAGTCCATAGTGACGCTACTGAGCTGGCCACTGAGCTTGGTGTGCGTATTTTCACGGCCGACATCATTTACCACCTGTTCGATCAGTTCACGGCGTACATGGACAACTTCCGCATGGCCCGTCGCGAGGAGTTTGCCGAGGTGGCTGTGTTCCCGTGTGTGTTGAAGATTTTGCCCAACTGCGTCTTCAACAAGAAGGACCCGATTATTCTTGGTGTGGACGTCGAGGAAGGTATCCTCAAGGTCGGCACTCCGCTGGTGGTGCCGTCCGCTGGTGGCTTCCTAGTCGGTAAGGTTGGCTCCATTGAACGCGAGCACAAGGAGGTGGATCGCGCCAAGAAGGGCGCGTCCGTGGCCGTGCGGATAGACAACGAGAGCAGCGTCATGTACGGCCGTCACTTCGACCACAAGAACAAGCTAGTGTCGCGTCTGACACGCCAGAGCATTGATGCCCTGAAGGAGAATTTCAGGGAAGACTTGCAGAAGGAGGACTGGCAGCTCGTCATCAAGCTCAAGAAGGTGTTCGATATCATTTAGAGAGCGCAAGTTACGCGCAGGAACAGCAGGGAATTCGCGCCCAGAGAGGGTGTTAAGAGGAGACTCGTGTTGAAATCTGAGCAGGTTTCTTGCCAGCGGGGGCAGTTATGTCTAGCAATATATGATTTCTTGTCGTCGATGCAAGAGGTCCCATGACAGATGGAGTTCAGCCACGGTGGTGACATACGCACAGCGTTCCAATAGAGTTGGCTGTGAGTACATACTATAATACCGACCACGTCATTTCTTTCTCGCAGGTGACATCCCAGCTCAACATTACATCCACACCGGAAGAGGGTGGAAGAGCGTGCAAGAACTCGCTACGCTGTTTAAACTGAGCAACGGCGAAGAAAAAACCGAGTCATTAGTCTGAAGCTCCAAATTGGAGCACATGCTATGGATTTTCTGCTGGAGACCATCAGAGACCGCTGGTCAACGATCCTGGATCTTGCCCATGTAGAAGAAGCCGATATAACTTATGTAACGGACCGATGGACGGAGCTCAGCTACGAACTGAGTCGGCGCGAGCACACACGACTTGAAACCGCCCTCAGTGAGCGCTTGAAGGTCCAGCAGTTGTCAGTCCAAATGTCTTCGCAAGTATCCGATAGTTGTGGTAGACAAGTCGTCGGGATGTGAAGAAGGAATCGCTTCGGAGCATGAGATTCTTTAGTAGCGCCTGAGATGAGACGAGCAAGTCATTCAGTAACAGCCTCGCGGCATTGTGCTGTCGTTGACACGATTATTAGATCAGTTGCGGCAAAGTCCCTATACCAAGTTTTTAGAGACTCGCTGCGGTAGGCCGGAGTTGAAGTGGTGCTGTTCGGTCACGGTCGCTACCAAATCATAATATCCAGCAACACCCGTCGCTGTGGTGACGAGCCCAAGGTTCAGCGAGTTGCTCTTGCGAGTCATAACAAAGCTGTTTGCGGCCAAGCAGCATTTGCCCGCAACGCTGGACAAGAGCCTGTAATGCAGGGATGGATCCAAATTGAAGTTGAACAGCTGGAGGATTTGAACGTCAGTGGGAACCAAATCTGTCCAGGGAGGACAGCCGAAAAATTCATGCGTCAGCGGCACCTTCCGGCCCGGCGACGGAGGACAAAGCTAGCAGATGCAAACCCAGAACCGCGCGGTTCAGCGCTGCCGCGTCGCCGCTGGCTCCACGCGTGATGCAACGTGCAACGTTTTGAACTCTTGTTTGTTTGGGTGCCCTGTCGTCAAGGACACCACCACAACGTGAAGCCAATCGTGATCTACTGAAAGGCTGGACAAAACGGTGTGGGGGCGCGACCACACTTGCCTCATTTCGCAATTGGAGCTCTTCCTACCATCTCGTCTCGTTCAGATCGGCGCAACATGATGCACAGAATGCGGATTTCGCCCATGCAACAGCTCAGCCACCCGGATCGCAACAATATGGGCGTGGTAGTCTCAACCACCACCTCCAAGGCGAGCACACTCCGAGCAATGCGAGTTCCCAAGTTCCTACGTAGCCTCTACGACATTCTCCAGTACGAGGACCAGACCATCCTGACGTGGTCCAAGGACGGCACCTACTTTCAGATCTTCGACACCAAGCGGCTCGAGATTGTCGTGCTGCCCAAGTACTTCAAGCACGGCAAATTCGCCAGCTTCCAGCGCCAGCTTAACAACTTTGGCTTCCGCAAATGGACCAAAACGCAGTCCAGCGTCTGCACCTTTAGCCACCACCACCTCGTACGCTGCCACCCGCAGCAGTTGGCTGAGTTTATCAGTCGACGTCCTCCTGGCAACGGCATGCGGTCGGGTGTTGACGCCTCCTCGACTGCCAAGCGTAAGCGTACGTTCACGGAGCTAATGCGATCCGCAGACGCTGGGACTTCCACTGCCGCTGCAGCAAAGATGATTAAGCGGGAGAATGACATCTACAACAGGGCGGTAGGCCACGAGCTGGCCATCACGACGAACTCCCCTTCAGCCAAGGGTGTGCCTCGGTGGGTAACAGACCCAGTAGGCTTCTTGAAGGCCAGCGAGGAGAAGAACACGACTCCAACGAGCACGTCTTCAGAGCAGGCATTCAATTTCTCGATGGAGGAACTACACGACATCATTCTACCCGTGGCGTCCACATCGGAGCGCCATGAGAGCAGGTCGATGGAGAAAATGCTCGAGCTGCGCATGTTGAACGAGTGCCTGGATCTCGGAACTGCTGGCTCATTGTACGCCACTGCGAACCCCGCTGGTGGTGAGCTCTTCCCTTCGGTTCCGTACTCGTGGGATAGCGACACGTTTTTCTCTCCTGTTGGTCGCACCCACTTCGAGCAGGATCGCGGTCTGTGGAGATTGCATTAGTGTATAAACAAACGACTTGGAGCGTACCTAGTTAGAGCAGTAAATCATTGTGTGCAAATGTCAAACTTTTGTCCTTATCATCCCACATACAACCACAACGCCAATGCATGAAGATATGGCGCTCTATCTAATGGATGAATCGCCGTTTCGAGATGAACTGGTCACTTTCATTCATTGCCAGCAACGCTGGATCTCCTCCTACTCGTATATCATGTCTTCGAACCTACTGTGTGCTCGCTAGTCTCTCTCTTCTTGATGCTGTTCTATTGGAACTCTGCTGCGTCATAAATACCTGGCAGCATCGTGTTCACCTTCTCAGCGATGGCCATCACAATACCGCTGTAATAGCAACAAAACACGCAACAAACAGGATGTCAGTTCCTCGTCCAACACGATGCATGGGCATCTGAGGTATGTACGCCTCCGAATTAGACAAAATAGCCACAGTAGTGGATTAGTCCCACCTTCGATACGCCGTGATGCCCTTGGACTTGAGCCAGAACCAAAAGGCGTCGCAGTGGGCCGCGCAGTCGATCACACCGTCGTCGTTGTCGTCTGAGTTAGCCTGTATATAATACAGGGAATGGAAAAGTAGCGTCAGCCCCAAATCCTCCCCTTCCATCTAACAAAGTACGGACCTTGAGCATGAGAAATTTTCCGATAAGCTGGAACGTGTTGGTCACGGCATCCTCGCCGTCCTCTGCCTCGCTGAGCTTCGCGACTGCCGCCTTGCCGATACCAGGCACCTCCGTCAGGTCGCCGGTGAGCGGCGCGCGCAGGAAGTCAGCCAGCGTGTCCTCTGCGACGCGAGACTTTTGGGGGTCGTAGCCGTCAGCCATTGTGTGCTTGGGTGGTGTGGCTCAGCAAAATGGAGGATTTCTCCTCAAAAACAATCTTTCCCACCAACATTTTTTTTTTCAAAAAAAAAGGTACCAATGATTTTTTTGAAAACTTTTTCTACAATAGTTTAGTTTTAACATTTTTTTACAATTTATTTTTTATTGAAGAAAGGTTAAAAAAAAAAAAAACTCAACACAGTGTACGGGACTCAACTTGAGTCAATATCAACCGCTGATACCCAATACAATATCGATACTGCATCATCAAAATATCGTATCAGTATCACTTGATACCGGTCAAACGAAAAGATCAAGATCATTGATCCTACATGGGCAAATATCTATATTAGACGAAAACCAGATCCACTACAGCATTGTGAAACCCCCGTAATCTTGCGTCGCTTGGCTCGAGTCATCTATAAAGCCCCTTGTGTTTCCCCAAAGAAAGCAGCTGCAATGGCAGACGAAAACTTGATCACAGAATGTAGCGGTGAATCAACATCGAATTCGGCGATTACATCGAGGACTACCTCTTTGACCGATGCAGAAGACGTCGATGAGAATGGTATCCCAGTCTCAGTTAAACACTCCACTCAGAACTTTTTCGCGACCGTTTGGGCCTACATTCACTTACTTGCGGTTCCAATCCCTGATTCGACGAGTCCCGGTCGTCCATACACTCATATTTGTATCGTGTGTGCGAACGAGCGAAAGAGCGCCGATCCAACTTCAACAGCTTGGAAGTCATGCCTCATGAGGCAGAAAACCTCGTCAAACGCTAGGAAGCACATGCTAAAAATGCATAAAAGTCACGCATACTCGAAGGAGACGAAGCAAGCGGGACAGGACGACAAAACCTGCAGAATTAAGGCGTTTGATGCTTCTGACAAGCCGAATACCAAAAAACAACGTACTATTCAAGAAACTTTCGTGATAAACCGAGACGAGATACGAATTTTAGCTACGAGGTGGCTACTTTCGTCGGGACTACCTTTCACCACACTAGAAAATGAAGAGCTTCAAAACTTTCTTCGACGTCTGTCAAACAACCCCAGCCTTGTAATTCCAGCCCGCGATACCTTTTACGCCTTTGCTGATGGAGAATATCAGAACTTTTTCCAGTTGGTTTCTCTGTCTTTACGAAAAGATTTTGACGCAGTATTACAACAACCATTTCTGTCGGTTCTTCACGACTTAGCTACGAATGCAGCAATTGTCAATATCATTGGAACAACCGTTGTGTATATTGATTCAGAGTGGCGTTTGCGGACAGTGTCATTATTGGCGTTAGCGAATTCTAGTGGTCACGCTGCACACCACGATTCAATCCCGATATAACATCAATTTGGATCAATTTGCTCGGTTTACAGTCAGTGACACTACTGGATCGGCG